CTCACCTCACGACACTTTGCAAACTGGTGGGGTTGTGGAGATGTCCGTTTTGGGTTCCATGTACCAACGTTTTTGCGCCGCCGCCGATTTTTGAGCGGCGGCCACCTTTTTTCTTCGTCGCCAGGTGCCGCAGGTGATCTACGAGGAGCGCGCCGTGGAAGTGCCCGAGGCGATCGGAAGTCGATCCCGTGGCATGCTTGTTGTTGGAAAACATTTTACGTTTTTGTTTATTGTGGTTTAGTGGTTGAAATCCAACCACTGAACTGCCAGATTTTAGATTTTCGCTCCCCTTCCAACGTCAACCAAGATGGATTGCGGGGGTGGGTGGCGGAGTGGCTGGGTTGCGTCATGGAGGCGTTTGTATTGCAGGCGCGCCCTAGAAACTCAATAACCTAAAGAAGGTGGGTGCAAAATTGACAAGTGTACACCATACTGGGAATTTGGTGGCGGGGAATTGACGCTAGCTCCAAAACGGGAAGCACACCCAAGCCTTTTTTTCTTCTCCCAACAGCTGTTGGGGATACCAGGCTTATGCTTGATTCTGGCCCATATTAGTCAACTTCGTGACACATGACCTCCATGGAAAACCAAGGAATGGCTCTGAGAGCAGCCCCTTTGCAAGACCGCCCATACTCCCAATGCCCTCTGGGAAAAGCAAGTTGTTTGTCTGGGACTCAACAACTCTAAACACACCATGCCCTCCCACCAAGATCCTATGAGGCGGGTTTCGGGTTCCGAACATCTGGTCTGAAAATTGTGGTCTGCCTCCCGGAATCTGGAATCAAGGCTTCTTTGCATGGCAGATCTGGCGAGGTCCTTGATTCTTTTAATGCGCAAATAGCGAGCGAGCTCACACATGCAGGTTCCTTACCAGCAAAGTCTGCCCGGACAGCCTTGAAGAACCTTCAGCGATTCGCTCCTCAATCTTCAGGCCTCCCAAATCTTCAGTGCTCCCAGCCTTGAAAGACAGGCTAAATAAGAATATTGGGTAAACGGTTTACCTCGGTGTTCTTTTCCGGCCATGTTTTGGTCGAAAGGGAGGTTGACCAGCAAACCGGAGGAAGGGCGCCGGTGCCGAAGGTGAAGCGAACGAACCCCGGGTGTGGAACAGGCATCAAGCAGCTTTGAAGGGAAGCCTCTCTTGGGTCGTTCCTTCTTCACGTTGGAGGCTCCTAAGAAGGTTTTGAGAGCTTTTTTTTGTTTGGGTGGGGGGTGGGGGGTGGGGCTTGGTTTTCGTTTCCAAACATGTTGCCTTGGCTTGAGAAGGCGCCCACTAGATTCGATTGAAATACCCAGTAGTCTGTAGTGATTTTGAGAAGGTCATGGGGGACTCATTGCATGTCCCTCAAAAAAAAGGGGACTGGCAGGGCAAAAAGGCAAAAAGGAACAGATTCCATTGAGGCCAAGGCCCAAATTTCCCCTTACATCCAGGGTCATGCGTTTTTCCGAGCCCAAGCAGGTTTGAGCGTCGCAGGGGTTACCTGGGACCTGGGACTAGGTGATCGATGACCTTGGGCCCTCGAAATTTCTGGCTGACATGGGATACCAAAGGCTTTTGTTTTGTCTTTGAAACCAACAGATGGGTTCTGTTTTTGTTGGAAACAAAAGTTATTTTTTCTTTCGGGGGGACCCGGGGCCCATTTTTGAGGTTCCCCGTTTTGAGCCGCGCGCGCTCGCGACAGGTGCATCAGGTGGAGGCCATTACCGAGGCGGGGGGAGCTTGGCTTCGCCTCTGGGGGCTGCAGGATGCGGCCTTGCGACCCAAAAGGCAGTTGTTCGAAAAAAAAGAAAAAAGTTGGTGGAGGTGAGTTTGGATGTTACTTGATAAGGTGTATGACACATGTACTTTTGAAGCTGTAAGCTTCTCTATTCTAGCTTGGTCCCAACAGGGACTCACTCATTTTGGGCTAAACAGGGGCAAGGGGTGATTGGAAGGTGTGGCCTAGCCCGGCTGGTCGTCCTTTTCGACGGGAGGCAGAGGAATGTCAACATAAGCAAGCCAGGGAAAGTATGCATATAAGTCTCAACATGGACCCTTTTGAATGGACTTGATCAACTCATGGTTTGATGCAGGCAACCACCAAACCAAAATGGGGGTGCTTTTGAGAATCATAGCCGCGCATCGGACACCGAAGCGGTTCACGTTTCAGGACGTACGGCCCAATTCCACCCTGCCTTTTTGAAGCCAGGGGAAGGATTGGACTCCATGAAAGAGTGCGCAAAGGTTTCCGCCCTTTTATTCTTTACATGTGGGCCTGTCTGCTTTGGTGGTACCCCTGTTTTGTGTTTCATAAAGGTTCCCTGAAAAAGGACACGCCCGCGTGTATCTCTCCACTGCATGCATTGTTTGCCGTGGTGACCTTTAGACGCTTTGACAGGAGTCTTTTTTTGCGCTGCACGTTCTGCACCGCTCTGTAAGATGCTTGGCATCAGTCTTTTCTTTTGGGTTTTGGGTAGACTCTTTTCATACCGAGGTTTGATTTCGTCTTACATTTGACTTCGTTTTTTGAATGACCGATGTGCATTTCCACTGGTGCAGGCAGGGCTGGGGGTTTGAGGCTCGGCAGGATTGTCCCATTGTCCCTTAGAGACTTCCTCGTGACGTGTGGAGGACTTCTCTTCAGGTGACGTGTGGAGGTCTAATCTGAAGGAGCGGATCCTGCGCATGGATCGGGGGACCCCGCCCCAATATGAACTTCCGATCCATCCGCAGGCCCTCAGGCACCACCCCAGCTGCTTCCCATGGGATTCTGCAGATTCCTGATTCTCGGGTTTCTGAATCTTCAAGTCGTTTGCCCGGGTCGACTCATCTTGCCGTACTTCGCCTGGATGAACTCTGGGACACCCCAAACCCCAAAGACTCCTAGCTCGCTCATCTGCGCCGCAGATCCCGAAGCCTGTGGTGCAGCGGGTGGAGAAGCAAATCCCGAAGGCGACGGCGTAGGGGGCGGGGGGGGGGGCCTCCTAGATGTGGTGAATCGGGCAACTCGGAGATAGAATGGGAGGTGCCGATTTGGATTCCTTGATGATTTTACGGAAATCACTTGGGTGAAAGGAATGCCTTAGGGATTTCGCTTGACAAATCCAGTGGGAGAAAGACTGTCTGGCAGGTGGATGGGGGAGGAAGGGAGGCCAAAGATGGACTGGGAAGCCAACCGCCTCAAGTGAAGGCATTGACCGGGTTGCAGGTTCCTGAAATGGTGGCCTGTAGGCAGCATTCCTGGGATGGTTCAAACGTCGCACAACGGGGGAAATAGAACTGGATGAGATTGTCTGTCTCAAAAGAGCATAGGTCAGGCGGCACAGAGAAACCTGACTCCCCTCACTCAGGGAGGTCCCGATGCACATGGATGCTGGCCCTTTTTGATCCGATACACCCTTGGTTTTCTTTGTTGACTTTCGGGGAAACGCAGATGGCGCCTCCCGAAATTGGGACGCCCTGGTTCCCTTTGGTTTCGCTTTGGTTTCCCTTCGGCTATGGAATAACTCCAGTATCACCCAGACGCTCAACGGGCCCTTCTCTCGAGGTGAGCCTCAGGGCACAGGAGCGTGTCATCGAGGCCGGGAGGTCTCCGGAGGGGTTCTAAGTTTTTTGGTGGACCTCCGTTGGCTCAACAAAAACATGGAGCCCGCCAAAAAGGGGCCACTCAGCCACCCAGCCACTCAGACACTCCGACGGGGCCTGTTGCTCAAGGTATGGGACCCTTTGGTGGGGTTGTTTCAACAGGAGTCTCTTAAAGCACGATCAGACTGATTTGGACGCCTCCATTTTTTGGGAGACCAAAGGAATGCCGAGGTCCGTTGCTGGATGTCCCAACTGCAAGGGCTACGGTTTGAGGGATGCAGTCGTTGCATGGGTCAAAGGCGGGGGTCTGTGGATCAAAGGCCTCCTGTGCCCTTGGGAGAGTTTCCTCTTCAGAACTAGCTCCCCTTTTCGATGGTTCCCCAGTCCTCGGCAGCAAGGCCTGGTGCTCGGCCTTGGATCAGTCGCTTTCGTTGCCCTTTTCCAGTGGGCAAAGCATCTAGTTCTTTGCCGGGGTCCGACTTCCAGCTAAGTCTTGAGGTTTGCGAAAGGGGACCAAAAGGAGCGACGGAGGATCTGCGGTTCCGCCTTCCGCTGCGCCGCTGAGTGTTTTGTGCGGAGTGAACCCCCATTTTATTATTATTATTTTTTTATTTGTATTTTGTTTATTTGTTTTTGGGGGGGAGCGTGCAGCTTGTCGCAAATCACGAGCCATGAAAAGCAACACATGCTAAGTTTAGGGTTAAACATCGACGACGATCTTGCAAGGGGGATGTGCGAGGAGCGACTCGAGATTTGAGTCTTTTTTTTTTTTTTTTTTTTCCGATTATCCGCGTGACATTGCCTTGCTCTCTTGTTCCAGGCTCTCCCGTTTACCTCTGAAGAAAGAATCATCCCTGCCGTTTGTGACCTGAAAAACCCCTCCTTTTCGTGGTGGCCTGGAGCGGTTTTCCTTCAACATGGGGCCATGTCTTTGGCTGGCGGGTTCTTCTTGGAAGTGGACAGGGGCAAGGCCTCGATGCTTGGGATCCGATCGCCGAGTTTTCGACCGCGGCAGCTGCGGGACGGCTATTCTGATGGGGGGGTCACCCCTTTTTTAGCGCATGTCCATCTAGAGACCCGCCTAGGCGAGCACCTCCAAAGCGATTTGTTTTTTACATTTTGGGGTTGACTACGTACTGATGGGTAATGAAGAGTCATCCATTTCGCACCGTTCAGAAACCCGAGTTTCTGAAACGATTCCCCAACGTAAATGCCAAGAAACGTTATGGGTTCACCCATGGTTTCAAAGTGGTGCGAAATGGATTTCGCAACCATCCACAGTATTTTGACGGGCACAATTTTGGGTTCGTCTAGAAATCGGGACACCCCAAAGGATGGGTTTCCTTTTTGGTTCCCCCTTGAAACCTCTCCAAAGGGCACAGCCTCAAACAAAGACTCCTGCCAGGTGCCGGTGACCTTGCAGGTGGAGCAGCCCATGGAAGTCGCTGCCTGAGATGGATCCGTGGGTCACAAATTGGGTACCAAATGGGTTGCCCTGGTGAACCCTGATGGAAACATGGACCAGAACATGGTTTAATTTTCACCCATACCCAAATAGATCCTGGTGGATGACTTCTGGGGCATGGAAACCTCTCAGTGAGCAAATCCTCTTGCTGAGACGCCCTCTTACGGATGCGCCTCAGTGGGGGATCTTACTGAGACGCCCTGCGGATGCGCCTATGTCCGCAAAAAGCCCGTGAGGCATGGACTGGCTCAGATGCTGCACTTAGGGTGAATCACACTTTTGGTGCATGCTGAGTGATTTGGTGCATGCTGAGTGATTTGCCTCCATGGGTGAATAACATTGGGTACTGACGGACGAAAATTATTCTCCGTTCAGAAATCCTAGGTTGATTCCCCAACATAGAAATCCCAACCCACATTCTGGTTTTTCAACCATTGTGTCCAAGTATTGCAGGATTGCTCCATCTACAGTAGCCCTTGTTTGCTGCATGATTTCTCCACTTGCACTTGCTGTTGCCATTTTTGGGCCTGATCTTACCCCCCCCCCAAAAGAAAGAAAGAAAGAAAGAAAGAAAGAAAGAAAGAAAGAAAGAAAGAAAGAAAGAAAGAAATCAGCTGCGCCCACAGAGACCCCGTGCGAGCTTGAGTGAGTGAGTGAGCATGCTTTAACTTTTTGCCAACTACTGGGTTTTCCGTATGACACCACTAGAAGTTTTAAGCTATTGGCAGGGCTTCGCAGATTCAGCGAGTTGAAACCACGAGGTCTCAACACACCTCGTGCCGGCTTCTCTTTCCAGACCAAACAAATGTGCGTCGGTTTCACGTTTCACGCGCGCCGCGCGCCGCGCGGTTTTGAACGGATGGGAAGTTTGGATCAGATCAGGTGCCGCAGGTCCTGGTGGCGGAGCAGGTGCGCCAGGTGCCCTACGCCGAGGCGGGACACGTCGGCGCAACCTGCGGTCACGGCTTGGAGGTCTGAGGTCTGAGATCTGAGGTTGGCGACGTTATGGAACCCAAAGGTGGGAGGTCTTAGGTCATGAGAAGACTTTTGGGAGGTGGATTCCTTTAAACGTTTTTTTTGTTTTCCTCTGGGAGTCCATGCCCCATTGCCAGTTTTGTTGGCCCGGAAGCTCAGCGGTACAAGGGGGTGGTCGAGATCGAGACATCGGCACGATTGTAGGGTCTGCAAGGAAGCGCTTCCCACCGGTTCCCAGAGTGAATCGACCTGAGCTTGTCATTGCAAATGTTGGGCCTTAGTCAAAGCTTCGAAGGGCTGGTCGGCGAATCGTGAATTTCCAGCTCTTGTGGGCAAGTTCGTCGACGTCACCATTCGATTTTAAAAACGGAGCAACTGGCTGCCGACCATGTCAGTCACTGAATTAGGAGGTTCCCTTCAAAATCCATCATCTACCACCAAAGATTCCTTCCCAAAGCAGGCAGAGTGTGTGTGTGTGTGTGTGTGTGGTGCGTGCATGTTTTTCTTTGCGCCAGACACCCGCATTGAATGTTGCGAGGCTTTTCGGCGGCTTAAGCTTTCATACCAATTTGAGGGCGAACTCAGAGGCTTGTTGGCAAGACCTGATGTCGCCCCTCTTGACGTCTTGTTCAGGACGAGACACGTTTGTGTGTGTGTGTGTGTGTGTGTGTGTGTGTGTGTGTGTGTGTATGTGTAATGGTGTCAACATAAGAGGAATAGCTAAAAATGGACGGCATCTGTTTCATTTGCCGCCCCTTCACAAGCTTCACAAACAGCGGATCCAGATTTGCCCTTCAATACTTGATCAATTCGGCGGCTTGCAGGGATTTGCTGCCACCTTCGGGGGTTCGAACGAGTAGGACATGAATGGACACCCCTGCAAAAAGCTCGGGAAAGGCGAGGAAAATCGAGAGGACTCAGAAGCAAGCGCATAGGTGTCCTTTTCGGTTGTTTTGGTAGAAAATAGATGGCCCTGGTTTACCTGGTGGCTTAATCATCTACCAGCGCCAGCTATTTCCCCTAAAGGACAAGTATGACCAAGCGGCGGATGATGTGTGGGTGCATGTGTTTCCCTCTCGAAGGCCAGGGGTGTCCTTTTCCTCATGTTGAAGGAACCCGGGCGCCCAAGACTCCGATCGGATCGGGTCTTTTTCGGGTCAGGTGCAGACCGTGGAGCGGGAGGTGCCGAATGTGACCTACCAGCCAGTGGAGCAGACGCTGGGCCCTATATATATATATATCTTAGATAAGGATTTGGGCCCCACATTCGTGGCATTTTTCCCCCCTTTTGCAAGGGGAAACGTGGGCCTGACTGAGTCACTGGACTGGATAGAACCATCTGAATGGTTCTGGGTCACCAAAGCAGCTTGGAGAACATTGTTTGGCTATGATTCATGGGGATTTGCCTCAACATGGTTGATTGACACAAATCCCCGTGTGAATGAAAGGGTTCCCAAGTACTATTCGTGCAAATATGAGAGGTATACAGTCAATTGCCCTTCCTTTGCGATTATGTATTCTGTTTTGGCCCGCAATCCCACTCGATTTGCTTTGGGCTGTTTTTGGGGTAGCTCGATGTCGGAGCCGTACGGCGGGTGCAGCTTCAAACCACTCTCTGTCAATCAACAAATGCTTCCCCCAAAGGAGCCTCCCATCGAAAAACTGCGTTTGCTACCGCAGTCGTCGCTTGCACCAAAATTTGTCGAAACATTCGTCGTGCTGGGTGAACCCACAATGCATTGTTGGGTTCAGCAAAAACCGACCCGCTTTTGGTTGGCAGATAGGGAGGCTGAGGACAGCATTTTGCACGCTCCAATATACCCAGCAGACAACGATGGGGGCGGCATGGTGATGAATTCCTCCCCTGGAGAATATTTATTTCGGTTTTGTGAAATGCTGCACAACCGGTGACGGGCATGTTGCAACTTCCAGTGCTCCCGAATGTATTCATGCCCATTCGTCATTCGCCCCGTATGAATGCTTTGATTTAAGGTCTGGTGCCTCCTGACAACCGCGGTTCAACATAAAGTAGAGGGGGCCTGGGCAATTCCTGACGTACCAACCAAGCGTAACGCATCACATCGCCAAACAAGCTCAACCAAGCTCACTCAATTGTTATTTGTTTGGAAAGCGCCTTGACTGACATCTGCTTCTTTTGGTGCTCTAGCTCTTGCTTGTGCCTCGAGCGTATGGAAGTCGTCACAGTCAGAGAATATTTTGGCATGATGAGACCTCATCCGTCAAGAATGTTTCTACCGCGGCCACTACTGAAACCCCAACCCACTAACACACAACCACACCAACCCGCTTTTGAGGCTTGTTAGTTTGTTTCCCTGGGGACAGGCGTAGGTCCGTCCCACAGTGTTGGGACCCCAGTTTTTTTTTGCGCCAAAGGTAAAGAGTTGTCTGATGACTTGGAAGCTCCACATTTCTGGGTACATGAAGAGTATACAACTCTGAAGAGGTCGCGGATATCACTTATGGCAGTGTCTTTTTTCTGGAGGGTAGGCTTTTTACGGTCGGCTTTGGGGCTAAAAGGAAACCACCCGTTTTGGGGGGTTCACCTATTTTAAGGCATACGTAAATTGGGGGCACCCGCAGGCCACGTAGTTTCTTCACTTGAGCCGAGGATCGTGGAAGTGCCGCAGGCAAGCGCTGACGGGATAGGGAAGGGGATCTCAAGTCAGATGACTCCCGGCCTTATTTTATCGGGGGCCCATTTTAGAGGGGGAGCCTTCACATGTTTTTTCTTCTTCGGGGGCACCAATGATACTCTGCCAGGTTGATGAATTCGGGATCGACATTGGGGTGTTTGACTCATTGGTGTAGTGAGGCCTATACAGACCTTTACAACCAGCTTGGTAGAAACTAACCGGTGGATGTTGAAGGAATGTTTCTTTTTGCCAGACACTTGTTAGGTTCGTGTGTTCGTCCTCTGTGTGACTATAAATTATGAAACCAGCGAGTCGACTTGTGCCACATTCCCATCAAGTTGTTAGATGTGAAGGGCCTTCTGCGAGTTCACGCTTCTCCCCTTGCGCCGAAGCATCGAAAAAGACCATCGTATCAGATCCCCCCCGTCTCGCCAGTGTGTTTGTACAACCCAAACCGATATTGAGGGTGGCGGGCGGGGGAACTCGAAGCACAGCTCTTAGAGCTGGATTTCGGGCGTCCCTGTGCAATCGACCGCTAGGATTGCACATCCTGCGGGCGGGTATCTGTCGCATGCCTCACCGGTACTGAGCCGCTTTCACAAATCAAAAGTGCGGGGGTAATGCTGACTTCGAATGAATCAGATTCGTAGAAACTAGTTCCCCTAAAAGTGATGGACGCCCTATTGAAAGGGACCAAGCCATTTGTCAACCAGGGTTTATCAATGAGATAATATTGAACATCATTTCAGTCCCTGAGGTTTGTGAGCCAGCCACATTCAACCAGTATCTCGAATTAGTTGCAAATGACCAATGACTACATACTAGTGGTTCTGCTGCGCCACTTTGCAACCACGGGAAACCATTGTTTGTTCGCCTTTCCAGGGGTTTCTCAGGGTTTCTTAGGTGGGGCAGGATTTCGTTGACCCAGCGTACAGGAGATTCCTGAGATCGTCGGATTGCTCCGGAGCACCATCCCAATCAGGTTTTTTTTTTTCCCTTGTCTGAATGAAATCATTTGAGGGGGATTCCGCGAGTTGCTCACTTAATATGTTAGTTACCTCATGCTGCGAAAGATTCAACTCAGCACCTGTAACTTAGTCTGGAATCCGTCGACATTATGTGTATACTATATATATATATATATGGACACCACCAAACCCACCAACCCACAAACTCACCCAGCCACAAAGCCACCCAGCCGCCTTACCCACCCACGCAGCCGTCAATTTGACACCCCCGGCCCATTTTTCTGGGGCGACGCGTGAGCCCTCCAGGTGCTGCGGGAGGAGCGGCTGGTGGAGGTTCCACAGCTCCAGGTGGCGGAGTTCATCAAGCAGGCGGTTTGGTCACCGGTCACCGTTCACCACCCCCCCGCCCCCCCCCCTCTCTTGTTGCGCCAAAACAAGGGGGGGAGGGTTGGTGTTCAAAGTTTTTTGTTTGTTTTTTCCCCGGTTTTTTCAGCCAAGGGGCTGCTTGTTTACGATGTTTTGTTGGTTTTGGTGAGTTTTTGGGCAGATGTTTGAGTCGAGGCGGTGCCAACAGGGATGCATTCAGATTTTCGGCGAATGGGCAGGTCTTTCTGAGGTTCTGCAAGGTGGGGAGGTTCCGTGGCAGGGGATACTCCTTGCGTTGTTTTTTCCTGTGAGCGGTTCCCGGGAATCCCCGAAACTGAGGAAGCCAAGTCGTCACGGGCATGGGAATCAAGCACTTTGGTATCAGAGAAAGGATTAGGGTTATACTCCACCATCAGGCTGGGGTGAGGTGGGGTGAGGTGGGATGAGGTGGGGTGAGGTGGGGTGAGGTGGGGTGAGGTGGGGTGAGGTGGGGTGAAGTGGGGTGAGGTGGGGTGGAAATGGCGCCTCGCTCGCTTCCACCGCTTCTCGATTGCCAGGTGCCGAAGCAGCAGGTGCAGGAGGTTCCGAAGCGAATCCCCAAGGTGGAGATGCGCTGTGCCGGGTGCCCGAGCTGGGCCTTTGAGACTCCGTGGCGGCAAGTTGATGAGCCGCATGGTTCAGCGGGCCAAAACGAGCTCGGAGATGAATGCCCCTATCTGTACTTTGTCCCTCGAGTTCTAGCGAGTTCAAAGCCCGCCTACATGGTGCCGCCAAAGTTGAACGAAGCGTGAAGAAACACACCGCTTTCTCCCGCTTTCACATGGCTATGAATTCTACAAATAGGCGGACTTTGAGCTCGATCATCATATGTCGAGTACAGGGCGTCACAGAACGAAACTTACTCATGGTCCCAAGTGCTTTACAGTACTCGCATATTTCCACCTTGGCTCATGACGACAACCCGCTTCAAATTGGTGTCTTTCCTCTGCAAAACTGCCCTGCAAGGGCTTTGTGGGAAGAGCCACAGCTTTTTTAAAGAATGGGGCAATGCTACTTTTTCATGTTTTCATGTGGCCAATCCATGGTATGTTCCCCGACGGTAAGCAACGGGCGCCAGATACCACCAGGCGTGTAGATTGCCACGGGGTGACCCCCTCCATTTTTTGGATTGTTGAACAGCTAGCTCGAAAACTCGAAGTGAAGCCCTGATTTTAAGCTGCGTTTTCATGGGGTGGCAAAATGATCCACCCCTTTCGCGAAATCCCGTGCAATTGGGTGGATTTGCGGGCCGGTACCTGGGACCACGGTCGCGGAACTGTGAGGGATTTAGACCACCATGATACCGGACCCGTTTTTTTTCAGGTCGCGCAAAGCGCAAAAAACCAGGTCGAGAGGGTGCAGAACGTGCCGTCGGACACCCAGATGCCCGGTGACTCCATGGATGTGTTGCCTTTTTGGCAACTTTCCTTGGATTTGGTGTCTATTTTTGAGGTGTCCCTAAAAGAGAAGCCCATTTGATTTAGGGAAGCCAAGAACGAACATCGCATGAGCACCAGCAGCGGACAGTTCCGAGGGTTTTACTGTTGCTCTGATTGAAATAGCCAACGTGTTTTTTCACTCACACGGAAAAACCTGTGGATGCAAGCAACATGGAGGGAAAAGGCAGGACCAAACAGAGCCCAATGGACCCATCCATATCTTTGTATTTTTTCCGCAGGGTCCATTCCAACTGTCTATTGCAATGAAAGACAAGAACCATGAAGCACTTTTAGCCATGATGCGGAGCTCGGCTCCGGCGAGAAACTCGGATCGCGGAAATGTTCTCAGAGCCCATCTTTTTGTTGGTGCTACTCCGTTTGGCAGTGAAAATCAGAACCGCCGCAAGGAGTAGGAAGCCTCTTGCGCATTGACCCGTCTACCTTGTGGCCGAAAGGGGGGGTGCCCTGCAAGGGCCTGCATTGTTGCGGGTAGGCGGGTGTGTCGAAAACGGGTTTGAGGATGCCCCTTTTTGTGGTTTACGGAAACCAACAGGAACCCCGAGATTTTGGGGGTTCCCCTGAAAAAGACATAGCCGGGGGAATTTGCAGATGTGAGAGTTGCATGTTTGGCGGGCATTGGGAAGGAGTTTGGGCGAACGGCCCAGCCAAGTTTGAGAGAAAGGGCAAAAACCACCTACGCCCCGAAAACCCTGTTTGGCTGTGGGGAAATAGGGTAACCACAAAACGGACCCCTGGTAAATGGACTCAAGGACTAAAACCTGCGGTCCATATCCTGGTGGTTTCATTTTGACCCATACCTATTGGTTCCTTTGAGAGCCTGCAAATGGGCCACAAAAAAAGGCTCACATAGCGCCGTCTTTCCTTTGCCAGTGGGCAACTTTTGCTGAGGGTGCAGCTCATTCAGGAGGTCGCTGTGGAGGTCCCTCAGGCGATGGGGGCTTCTTTGGCCACGTCTCGTGCGTCTGGACGGGGTCCCCATACTTTCATCTCCGATTTGAGCAGAGAGGGGCCAATATTCAGGCTTCTGCTCATTTCCGCCAGGAAGCCGTCCCTGGGCACGCAAGAAAGACCCTCCTGAGAAAACGCCACGGAACCCCTTGCGGCTTCCGCGAGTGGGCCAAACGATCGCCTGGCACAAGGCGGAGCGACCCATTAGCAGCATGCGGTTGGTTGAAGCTTTGTGGAGGCAGCCAAGGGATATCGAATCGGACTGGCCCCATCTTCTCCATTCGATCTTTGAGTGCAGAAAAGATCTGGTTCCGTCTAGTCTATTTTGGTGATGTTTCACGGCAAAGCACAGGGGTTGCTTGGAAGTGAAGATTGGTCCTCGAGTTTGCAGCTGGCCGTTGTACCTCTAGCATTACCCAGATGAGCACCAAAAGAACCCTCGATCTAGCGGCCCTTCCGCAAAAAATATACAGCCTCCACCAATTAACATGGAACCAAATGTTGCTGGTTTGGACAATTTTCCTTTGAAAGGGACCATGTCCCTGTCAGGTTCCATGTTAACTGGTGGGGGGTACTGCCCAAAAAATCTAGCTGGTTCTCAGCAGGGAATGAGAATTGGAATGACTCCCACAAACAAATCCCTTTGGTTTCCTTTCGTCGGGAAACCGCAAAACTGTTTCATTCCCAAAACCTGGTCTCGTCGTCATTCCCTACCAATCCACCAGCAAGACATAAGCACCCCCTCATGGGTTACGATGTGAACCACTGGAAAGGGCTTTGGCTACTATGGCGCATGTGGGTTCTTTGGAACCAGCCTGAAAAAGTTTCCGTCGAAGCAGAAGCCCTCGAAGCATGTGAGCAATGCCCAAAACCAAAACAAGGCCAGCAAGGTTCTCAGCTCTACCTGCCTCAACGGGGGGGATTATATGAAGGTTTGATAGGTGTGTGTGTGTGTGGGTCACATTTTTCAGCCTGGTTAAAAGGGAAGGGCAAACGAATGCCACCAGCTGTCCAAACCCATTTGCCAAATCAAGCCCATTATTTGAACAACCTTTCCGGTTTCCCTACAAGCAAATGCAACTATGTGTACATACATATATGGCTATGAATTTTAATGGGGAACCCCCTCCCAAATGGTTGGTGGACATAAATCCCCACCTAAATGTCATTAAAGTCAATACGCACATATGTATATATGCATATACCCATACACATTGACATATACACATGTATGTACATATACATATACATATGCATATACATATACATACACATATATATATATATATAGATACACATACATACACACATGTATATATATATATATATACATACATATGAATACAGCCACATATACATATATATATATATGTATGCATACATACACCCACACACACACATATATATATATACACCCACGCGTATACATACATACATACATACATGCATGCATACATACATACATACATACATACATACATACATACATACATACATACATACATACATACATACATACATACATACATACATACATACATACATACATATATACATGTGTATACATTTGTACGTGTTTCGCGCATGTTTATTGTTATTATTATTATTAATTATTATTATTATTATTATTATTATTATTATTATTATTATTATTATTATTATTATCATCATTATTATTTAACCCTTGTGACTTGCCGCAGGTCCTCCGCCATGAGGTGATCACCCAGGTTTCCCAGGCCGCAGAGCAGCGCATCGCTGGGGCCTCGTTGAGACCTCGCCGCGGGCGGGGAGGTCGCTGGGTTTTTTCGGTGATCCGATGAGTCGCGTCCTCAAAACTTCAAAACTTCTGGGATCAAGTTTTTGTTTTCTCCCTTTTTATTATTTTGTTCTGCTCGTTTTTGGCATGCAACAACAACCCTGGATCAAGTTTTTTGTTTTCTTTTGTTCAGCTTTAGGGGCTGCAAACACATGCGACCATACCAAGGGTTGCGAAGAAAGCCCGGGCAATTGGAGGGTGGGGACCATCCCAGCCGTAAAAAACAAGTGTGCCCGCCGTTTCACTTCTTTACATGCTTCTGGGCAGACCATTTTGATACCAGGTTTTGATTGCGACTCAGATGGGACAAAATTCATCGACCACAAGCCACATTCGCATGTTTAAGTCCATTGGCATCTACCAGGGTTCCATTTTGAATACCTATACTTTGCCGGCCACATAGAGACAACAGGTTGAACACTCAACATGATGATTTGGTTGCTCTTGGCTGGTCCGCATTTGCTTGATTTTGGGTTGGCGAATCAAGATTGTAAGATCAAACGCACAAGAACTCGCTTCTCGAGGGTAGATCATAGGATGGATCATTGGGGCACTGGCACTTCAGGTGAATTCTGGAGTTTTTCGGCCTGAAGGGACACCCGCTGCTTCTTTGAGTTCACTTCTCCGAGTTGGTGGGCTTTCCGTCGAAGAACACTCTGGTAAACAAGCCTGGAGGTCGGTCTTTCTTTGCAGGGATGGTGCTGGGCATACCCTGCCATGGGAAACCTCAAGGAAGCGATGGAGCGGGTTTGCGACTAATTCGCGAAAGAGAATGAAGCCATGTTTGTCATCCTGCCAAGACACTTTTGCCTCAGTTGCTCCGAGATTTAGTGAAGCGGTTTACGGGCAATGCAGTTGTGATATGTGAAATCGAAGCATTTACATTCGGGTGTGCTGGAGAGTAAGCCGTTCCCCTCTCCAAGAAAGAAACCTGGCACAGACCCCCAAACCTTTTCTCAACCCCAGCAGGAGTATGACATAATTATGTATAGGCCTTGCTTACCAATCACTTGTATTCCCGTTTAGTTTTCCTTTTGGGGTCTGCGGTTTGAGAGGGTTTGTGGGCGAAGTCTTTGACCATGTCCTTTGGTCAGTGCGGTTGGATTCAGATTTGAGATTGGTTCCAATCACTTCCCAGTGGAATCGATGCACTTTCGGACCATGTCAATCACCATTCGCGCTCCCGGGTTAGATTTCCAACCTAAACACATCAATCACCCAAAGTACTCCCCAAACAGGGGTCCCTTTAAAAGGAGAATCGTTCAAACCAGGACCCCCCAAACGTCAGTAGCGCGTTACTTGGTGGGAGGGTAACCCTCTTGAACATTTTCGGACCAACTCGCATGCCTTTGAGTATCTCTCTTTCAATGTGAGTCCCAATGCTAACCACAGGCCTTGGACTCCCTTAGATCGAGCGCTGGGGGTACCCTGATTGAAAGGCGATTTTAAAGGGACACCAAAAGGAACAAGCCGAAGCCAGTTTGAGTTCCCCCTTTTCCTTTCGGATGCGCCTCAGTGCGGGCATGCGGCTGGTTAAATTCGCACAAACAAGTCGAGAGTGCACTCTTGGCCTTGACCGAAGAAGCACCTTTCTCCAAGGTCCAAGAAGCCCAGGAGTACAGCCGCACGGTGCGGCGCGAGGAGGTGGTCGTGGGAGAGGGGGAGGGCGGCTATGCAGGCGCGAATCGCTGGGAACGGAACGGAACGGACCAAGTTGTCCTCGGTGGAACCTGGCCAGAACCCTTCCCTTTATGGCTATTTGGTAGCGGATCTTCGGATTTTCACTTGGTTGAAACAGACAGGATTCTCCGAATTGAACCCACAAAAAGTAGCGGGGTCAGCAGCAACCAAGAACTTGGGTTAATGCCTACTTACAAGTAACCTGCTACTTCACGTATCCTTTTTGGGGGGTATTCCTCCTGTGGATGGGTTCATTGTTCTTACCGCGCACAGCACTGCATGGCCCTGCTTGCGCTGCGAGCGAATCAATCCGAGCAAAACGTCACCGCCACGTGTTTTTTTTTTGTTTTTCTTTGGGGGGGGCGCAACTTCTGGACCATTTGAGTACCCCTCATATACCGCATAGGTGTACCCCAGGTGTGTTCTTGAGAGCACCTTTGCTGGGTGCTACGTGCGCCGTTTGCTTTCCCCAGCCTCAAGGCAATTACACGCCCCTTGGGCGTTCCCCCGTGCCCCAACCACAACATCAGGTCAACCATGCAGCTCGGCCTTTGTCCGCCGTAGCTTTTTGCAGCTCGGCCTTTGTCCGCCGTAGCTTTTTGTTATTTTTTTTTGGGGCTTCGGCTGCCCCTGGCTTTCCTTGGCTCCAAGATGGCGGGCTTCGTTTCTCCGGGCTGCCCAGAGATTTCCAGCAGCTGCAGTGGGCCGGCCAGTTCCCAGGGCCATGGGTCTCATGTGAGTTGTTTCGAGGGGATCCGGAAATGCTTTGGGCGGGGAAAACCCGATGAATCTGACGGGAAAAGACACATCTGGGGTCAACATTCGGATTGCAGTTGGCCCAAGTGTCGTAAATTGAAGGCAACATGAGCTGTCTGTCTTGGAGCTCTGCTGGATCCTGCTCGGACAAAACGATGAATGAAGAGTACGAATCATCGCCTGCTCCTGTGCATTCCCTCCCACTAGCATAGCCAGGGGCTCTCACCAATATGTGTTTTCGCACGGGTGCTTACCACATTTCCCACAAAAACCAGGGAGACGCACAAAGAATCACAACAAAAAAAGGGAGCCTCAGGCTCCCCAAAGTTCGCACCAAAACCAGGGAGAGCTCCAGAAGCTCCACCAAGCGCGGCGCAAAAAAGAGGGCTCAACCCCCCAAAATGGCTTCTTGCTTGTTCTGAGGGAATGAGTTGGAATCACCCCGAACTTAACCCACCCCCTCTGGTTTCCTTTTTTCAGGACTCCCGCCTCAAAAGCCGGTCCATTCCCTTATTCCCTTCAAACCCGCCACAGGTTCCCTCGGTTTCCCTTGGAGTTTCCGGCCCCAAAACGGGCACCACCCCCAAAACGGCAGGCGCCTACGAGGCGCGGGTGGTGCGGGCGGGCCCCGTGTCCCCGTCCAGGATGTCGGCCCGGAGCCCCAGAAATCGGGCATCGGGATCCCGACTCTCGGCGCTCGGCGCTCGGCTGGCGGATCGCCATGGGCTGAACGTGAATAAACCCAAGATGGCGGTGGGTCAAAACCAATGGGATCCCATTTTGGTGGGTAGGTGAATTCACCACACATTTTAGATAGCCGATTTTAGTGGGTGGATTGGGATGTTCACTGGGGGTACGATTTGGGTTTGAGCCATGGGCATATGAACAAAATAAAGCGTAGATATCTGGAAAGCGATCTAAACTTAATCTGAGTTTAATCTAACTCCAGCCGATTGGGGAAGATATGGGTATGGGTCAAAATTCAGCCACCAGGAATTGGACCGCAGGTTTTATTCAGTCCATGTGTCCATTTACCAGGGCAACCCATTTTGGGTACCCTTTTTTTGACCCACACCCACTTGGTGGGATGCGTGGGGAACGCGAAATGGAATGAACCCGTTTTTTTTTGGGTCCCCTCAGAAGGACACCAACAGTTCGGATGGTTTGGAAGGCACATTCCCTCATTCCCTGCGGAGCAACAGCAAGTTGAGTTTGTTTTTGGTGCTTTTGTTTTCCCTTGCCGGCTTTAAGGGACACCTATCACTCGATGTGTTGTTTTCCAGGGGACAGCAAATGGAGGAAGCGACCTAGCGGCTCTCTGTACCAAGGGATAAATGTACCCTCCCTTCAGAAGGCGAGGAGGTCATTTCCCCTTCTGGCTGAATTGTCGCCTCTCCAAGGGACAGGCCTCCTTGGTCTACTTGATCTTCTCCTGGGTGATAGCTTGAAGCAGCGTTGGAACGCATGTTGCCATCCCAGAATGGTTTTCAGAACCGTTCTGAGCAGGTTCCAGGACACTTTCCTGGTCGTGGTGAGTCAATTGGCTATCAAACTACTCCTACCACCCCCAAACACAACACGACCCGCAAACGCAACGCAGCTTCGGGCGTTTTTCGAAATTGTGGACCCTTCAAGAGTTTTTTTTTTGGTGTCCCCGTTAAAGCCGTCCATCTGGAAACACCTAGTTTGAGAAACACCCCGTTTCGTCCTAAGACTTTTCGTCCCCGAAAGTCCCGGCCCAGATGGAGATGTTCGAGAGGGGCGAGGTGTCTCACACTCGCAGCGACGAGGCAGCTGTGACTGAGTAGATGGGGCAAAGGTTGGTTGGGTGTGAGGTACCTGCACCCTCAAACTACCCTTAAAAAAGGGAATTCACCCCATAATTTTGGGCTATCACCAATTCTTAAGTGAATTTTGAGGGTGCTGGTGCCCAGTTTTGGGTTGGTTAGGGAAACCAAAAGGACACCAACCCATTTGGGGGGATTCCCCTAGACAAAGCCACGTGAACCCAGTTTGGCTCCTCGCCCATGCTTGAAACCAGCTTTTTACTGGAGCCTATGACTCGGAGTCCAGCAGTCAAAGCCACGTTTCAGAGGCGGATTTCCTTTGTGGTGCTGTTGGGGATATCGCCTGAGCTTACTTTTTCCGATGGAAAGGGCCTTTTTCAAGAGGATGGGCCCAGATCGTCCCAGTCTTGTCATGGATTGGGGAAACCCCAGTTTTGCCGAAAGATGGGGAAGCCACTCCCTTGAAAACGGTGTGTGTGCACCCTTTGCATGGTGTCTATTGTTGTATACCATGTTGTCCCCTTGGAGGTAACTGCTTTGGGGTATGGACACCATCTGCAATGCAAGAGAAGTTTGGCACGAAGAACAGTATCCCAAGAACCCGAATCGTTGCAGATTTTGTGGTTTCCCCACCCTTGTTGAGACATGCCCGCAAGGGGGTGTCCTTTTTGGAGTTGGTTCGTACTCTTTGTCGGGCCCCTTTTTTCGGGTGAACCTACCAAAAAACGGCCCATAGATTGTGTATCCCATTTTTGAGACGCCGTTGCCAGGTGCGCCATGGTCAAACTGCCCGGGCGCTCGGAGAAGTGGGGCGGCTCGTTTTCATGCCTTTGAAGCCAGCATTGTTTTGAGGAAGCTTTTGGTTTCCCTCATGTTTTGCCAAACTGAACCCTGTACCCTGCCACTCGCTGGCACCTCTGGCAGGCAGGGAACCTAGAGGATCAATGTGCGGGAGGGAAGGTACCTTGGGTTTACTAGGTTTGTAGCCCCAGTGATTGGCCAAGCAGCGGCGTCTTTGGTTTCCTTGCAAACGGTCTTACAAGTCTAAGTAGGGTTTACTACTATGGATGGACCAAATCCTGCACCCCTTGGAAACCTTTGTTGGTATTTACAGGGGAGTCATCCTTCCAGGGGCTCTGAGGTGGTGCGAAATGGATTTCGTCCACGGTAGGTTTGTGGTCTCGCCAAGGTGTCAACCATTTGCATATCCCTTTTTTTTCAGGTCACTTATGGCGCATCGCAGCCTGCTGTGGCATCTGCGCGGGGCGGAGCAGCGTACGCTGGGGCACAGTATGCTGGGGGACAGTACACTGCTCAGTATGCAGGAGCACGGGTGGTCTCGAAGCGGAACATGCAGTTATGAGGGTTTGTGCGGGGGGAAACCAAGATGAGTTTGTGCCGCATGCTAAGCTCTGCAGAGGGGCTACTTAGAGCCACGGATTCCCAAGATGTAGGTGCAGTAAAGGTTTCCCTTGTTACCTTACTTGCAACAGTGAGGGAATTCACAGTGCACATTCGTCCCCTTTGCCATTGTTGCAACAGTCTGGAACTTGGAATGGGCGCAATTCACTTCAGTTGCGAAGGAACCTAGAACCACGGTTGAGGTAAGGGTCAGCAGGGTTCCAGCGTTTAGGCCATAATTTAGGTTATTCTCTTTTTTGGGGGAGGTCTACTTGGCAGGAATCAGTAGCAAGGCTGCTCTTGTCTGGGCCCGCTCGATAGCGGGCGGGGGTTGAGATTCAATTTGGATCAAGGGAGGTGCTGCAAATACTGAGGATCCGACATCCTGCGCCATATACAGATATGTATATATATATATATACACCGGCTTTCCAAAAATCATGAAAGTGGACAGGGGCCATTTCAAGAGGACCGTGGTCTTTCCATACCCTCTTGTCAGCTTCCGTTGGTGGGAAGAGCGCCCAGCGTGGGAAACCACCGCTTCACTTGTCATGATGCGCATGTTGAATTCCTCGCCCGTGGATGGTCAGGGTGGGGTCTTGGGCATGAATTCCAGCTGGCTGGGCTTCGATCGGTTTTAGGTCGGGCGTTTCCGTTGATTTGCGTGGAGTTGGTTGGCTTAAGGGGGGCAGGGCATGTGCTGTTAGATCTTCACTCATACTCTCCGGATTTAGTGTTTTGCTTTCACTCCCCCCAAAACCACTAGCCCCCCAGACAGAAGACTGGCATACACAACCGCGAAATCGCCAATACGTAAAAAGAAGGGGTTCGGAGACAGTGCACCACTATTCTTTGTGAGTTCTTACGGGGCTTGGGGACAGCCCGAGTTATTTGGCTGCGGCTCAAGAAAACATGTATTCCAAAACGGCACCTTGGTAAATGGAAAGAGACTAAAACCTGCGCTTTGCCCCAGCTCTTGAATTTTGAGCCACACCGAAAAGTGTTTTTCCTTGACACCTTGGAGTGTCGTTTCTATGGTGCAAGGAGGCCAGAGCCAGCCCGCTGGGAGCTGAGCTTCCCAGACGTAGCTGAAAGGCGGCTTCTCTGAGGCAATTCCCATGCTGTTGTTGGGATAGCTGGAGACTTTTTGCGCCATTTCAACCAAAGAGCTGGTGGATCGCTGCCCGAAATTTGCAGGAATTTGGAGTGCGGATCTCCAGAAGTGATGAGAGAGCATGACATTTTGCTTCCCCCCCGGTGTTCCTGAGTGATGCTTTCCTCTTGTGGAATGCCAGCAGCCGGCGGCTGGAGGCGTTTGGGGTGCCTGAGGTCTACGCCACGCAGACCTATTCCGCTGGGAGAGGCGCTTGGGATGCAGTCCAGTGGCACCCTCCAAAGCGCCGAGTTTTGTTTGGTAGGGGTGTCTGGGATGAGTTTTTTTTTGGCCTAGGGCTCTAGGGGTTGCTGCCCAAGTCTTTTCACCCATCGTCCAACAAAAAAACAGCTGTTTCCCCAGGGTTTTGGGTGGTTTTGTAGAAAGAAGGATGCCTGGAAAGAATGGGGAAGGTACCCCTAGAAGGGCTGGTTTTTCTTACTGTGGATGGTTGCGAAATCCATGTCGCCCGACTTTGAAACCATGGTAAGCCATTGTTTTTCTGGTATTTATAAAGGGAAGCATCATTCCAGGGTTTCTTCGAATTTCGTCCATCCGCAGCAGCTAATTAGTTGGCGGGTTGGCTGGCCGCATCCACGGCATCACCAGCCTGACTTGGACCTGGGGTGGCAGTTGGGAGTTGCTTGGGGCTCGAGAAATTTGGGGGGGAGGGGTTAGGCTGGCTTAGATCTTCATGAGGGAGGCATTTAGGCGAAGCAAAGGGCCGACATCCAAGCAGCTGTGGGGCGTGGTCGGGTTGACTTTGGGTGGGCTTGGGATTGGTTTGGAGCTGATTTGTGGGTGTGCTCATGGTTTAGCGGTGCCTTGCGGGGTGCCTTCGGGATGTGGTTAAGTGAGTTGTGGGCGCTCCAAAACCAATCCTGAATGGTACCCCATCAGGGCCAATAGGCAGCCCCAGGTCCAAATGAGGTTGGGCCCAACAGCCCTGGTCCAGGTGAGGTGATGCTTCGGGGGGTTGCCCAGCGAACAAAAAGCTAGCGCGAGGATAGATCCATCGGGAAGCAACAACAAACCCTACCGGGTCTCGGGGCACCGCCTCCCAAAGGGCGCGTTTCGGACCTTCCCCGGAAGGGTTCAGGGATCCCAAGTCGTTTTCAACCTGTCGGGCGGGGCAACTGGGGAACTGGGCAACTGGGGTCATGGGAATCAGGGGTCTTCCTTGGACAAAATTCCCGCCGATCGGCACCAGTTAGGATAGATGAAGCCCTATGAAAGAATAGAGTAAAGACCTACCCACTGGTGCCTGTCGCGGATTTGGTCCATCCGCAGTATTGATCAACCAGTTCTTTGAATTTTAGCCAACATGAAGCGGTGTGCCTTCAAGGTTTTACCAGGGGCTTTCTGTTTGAGCATGTCTCCTCCACGCTTTGGAGAGCATGGTGTCGTTTTTAGAGGACCCCGCCCCCCTTTCATTTGCGCGGTCGTGTATTCTTTTTGGAGAGCCCAAATCCTCATGAGATCAGCACAGAAGGGGTCTTGGTGCAAGGCGATCTGTTCTCCCAGCTGGACTCCAACAACGATGGCGTCGGCATCCCAGGATGGACAGTTGGGGGTTGCTCAAACGCTCCTTGACAGGGGGTGAGTATATTGGTGGGACCGCTCAAAAGGACGACATTTGCCACTAGATGGGACAAGTTCGCCATGGTCATGCGGGGGCCCTAGACGGAATATTGATGAACCCCCCCATTCGGGAGCATTGATCAACGCCCATTGACGGAAGAGTGATCATTCCCACTGGATGGGCAAAGTTTTCCGTGGTCGTTTGGGGGCCCAGGATCATTGATCAATCCCCAGTTTCTTGCGCCGACTTCAACGTGTTGCCGTTTGAAGTCAATTCATCCCTCCCCTCACGTGTCTCTGTGGGCCCCGGATGATTCTGGGGAGATGATTGAAGTGCAGGAGATCCGTTTGGGTATGCAAAAGGGCCCCCAGTTGCGGCTATTGAGAATCAAGTTGAGAAGACCGACAAGAACATCCTGCCAGGTTCATGTTACAGTTCATACCTGATACTCCAAGAACACATCACGTGCTTTGTCCCGGAAAAGGCCCTTTTCACTGGCGTCCAACAGGGATCAACAATCCGCCCGCAGATTTCAGCTCTTTTCCGCCCCAACCGAAGAATTCAGTTCTTTTCATCCCTAAACCCTTCCTTCTGGACCCATGTCCAATTAGTCCAATTGCTGTTGGAACCCTTACCCACTTCCTTCAAAGTTCTTTGAGTATTTGCCACCAAGATCTGCACAGGAATATGAATAAAGCGTAGATATCAGGAAAGCGAAGCCCAATCTGAGTTTAATCTAACTCCAGATAGAAAAAAGATATGGGCAGTCAAAATTGAGCCACCAGGAGTTGGACCGCAGGTTGTATTTAGTCCATGTGTACATTTACCAGGCATCAGCACCTCAGGTGCTCAGCCGAGAAGAGCTGGCGGCCGGAGCCTCTGTGTTTTTTTCAGGTTGGGCCACCCATTCCTGGCGTCCCTTTAAAACCACCCCCCCAAAAAAAATTGGGGTACCCCCCCAAAAAAAGAGGCACGCACATGCAGTATGTTTTGACAAAGGGCGTAAGATAAGGCGAGGACCCGGCGAATGATGGACAGCTTCTTTTGGTCCCATTCAAAGATGATCCCAAAGAGGGTGCTTTTGCAAAACTTCGATAGTTGTCCAGTGGCTTCGGGTTTCCTTTTTGGTTGGGAGAAGGTACCCCTTTGAAATCACCTAGTGAAAAGCAGGTGCCTTTCTACTGAGCTAGATGTTTGGGGTACTTGTCTGCCCGCCATCCCAGCAGTGGTTTTGGTTGCCCTAAGCCTTCAAAAGAAGGGGTTCTTGGTATCCCCTCCGACTGGCGGCACTTTGGGCGGCGCTTGGTATGTTTACAAGCCTTCGACCAGGGTAAAGGCAGCCGCGGATGAATCAACCCCAGTTTAGTAAATGGGGGGTTTCCCTGAGTTTATGAATCCCGGGTCGACGTTGGAACATTGCTTTGGTTTGCTTTTGGCTTCCCTTTTCAGGAACAACAGTATCCTCGCGCCGATCGGGAATTCAGAGCACTGTGTTTGACTCTTGGGCTGTGTTAAGCAAATAAGCAAGGCTGAAGCTGAGTGTAAGTGTCGGCACCACCAAAGACTACTCCGTGTTTTTGCATGGAGGAAGAATGACAACACAGGCCACCGGCCCCAACCAGCAAAAAGACTGGGAGTTTCTCCCAGACAGGCTCCTGCAAATATGTCCAGGCACCTTAAGGCAAATGAAAAGGAGGCCCCACCCATTGAAAATCACCCCGCTATTTGCCCCTTCCATGGTTTTGCGTCGGCCCCCCTTTTCTTCAACCGATATCCGTGTGATTTGCGTTGCATACGTGTCCCCCCATGGGCAGAGCCAGTGAGGCCATGGGCAGAGGTGGCGCGGGAGTCACAATGGCCTCAGGCGGGAGAACTCGAGGGGCTCGTTCGGTCGACTTTGGTTTCTGGACGGTTTGTTGACTGAGCAAAAAACTCGTTGCGCTTGTGTCGGATCCACTCAAATGAGTTTCAGCTTTGCTGGTGTGTGAATGCGTGAGTGAGAGTGTGAGAGTGAGAGTGAGAGTGAATGAGTGAATGAGTGAATGAGTGAATGAGTGAATGAGTGAATGAGTGAATGAGTGAATGAGTGAATGAGTGAATGAGTGAATGAGTGAATGAGTGAATGAGTGAATGAGTGAATGAGTGAATGAGTGAATGAGTGAATGAGTGAATGAGTGAATGAGTGAATGAGTGAATGAGTGAATGAGCGAGCAAGGAAGGGAGGGAGGGAGGGAGGGAGTGAGTGAGTGAGTAGGTCTGAGTGTGTGTGGTCCAAGTCTCCAACATGGTGCGGGCCGCAAGGAGTCGGGAGCCAGTCAGCGTGGGGCCCAAGACAGCGTGAGGCAACGCTTGGCGGAGATGAACGCCTTGCTTCTTCCCCCCCGCCGTTTCTCGTCCGTTCTGCTGCTATTTCCAATCGTTTTCCAGCCGCTGTCCAGACGCTGTCCTGCCATGGTCCAACAAAGAGTCAGTATGCCAAGATGAACATAGATAGGCCTAGTCACATTTGCGAGCTGATGTGCAGATGTGCGACGCGACGTTCCAACCTAGTTGTGTTCATATGGTTTTTTGTTTGGGAAGGGCGGAGCATCTCCTAAAGTTTGGGGTCCCCTTTCAATTGCCAGGCGTTGTGACTCAAGTCTTGTGAACCTTTTCCTAGGTCGCCGGCATGCAGACCTACGCTGCAGCCCCGCAGACCTATGCTGCCGCTCCGCAGACCTACGCTGCAGCTCCGCAGACCTACGCCGCCGCTCCGCAGACCTACGCTGCGGCTTCACAGAGAGGCTCTGAAGGGAGTGTGGAAGTTCCATGTGCCCGCAGATGTGAAATGGGGAGTCTCGAGGTCCGTTTTGCTTGCGTGACGGCAAGCCTTCTTGCTGGCATGCCCTGTTTAAAGCTCAAAACATGGACGTGGACGTGGGGCTGTTCTTAACTTTTGGGGCAACCTTGGGCAGAGGAAGTGTGTGTTTGTTTTGCTTGTAGAGAGAGGCCTGGGTCTTCACTGGCATCTTTTCTCCTCTTGTTTGGGTTCCCAAAAAAGAGGCAGCTGATCAACCCCAACAAGGGTTCCAAGTCTTTACCATTCGGTTTGCTAGGCGATCTCTTCTCCCAGCTGGACGCCAACAAAGATGGCGCCGGCGCCTCATAGCCCCGAACGCAGGCTTTAGTCTTTGGTTCCATTTGCCAGGGTGCCAGTTTGGTACATCTTTTTGACCCACAGCCACATTTTTGTGCGAAGGGCCGGTGATCTTTTTCTTCTCCGAAATTTTGTGCCACAGTGGATCCATTCACCCGACGCTTTCCCTCATGGGGTTCATACGAAGAAGGTAACGGGGCTGTCACCAGGCTGGCACATGCCTGTGGACATCTCAAAGCGAAAAGGGTGTCGGTTGCCTTGTGCAGCGTCCTTTCCGCTTTTTGCCAGGAACCCTTGAGCATATCTTTGTGAGCATATTGCAGGCTTCCCAGGAAGATTCTAAACAAATGTGGCTGGGGTGTGCCCAAGAGGCATGTAGGGTTCTTGGACTTTTGGTTAGATCGATGGGTTTCTGGCTTAGCCTCGGAAGCTCTGCGGAGTGCACCGACATGTTTTTGGCAACACCAAGTTGGAGGATTCGTCCACACGCGCACTTGGACCAAAAACAACCCGAGCCGAAGGCCTTTCAGGGGGGCAGCAAAAGGAGCTTGTTTCAGCTTGCTGGAACCCAAAGGTGGTTGAAACCCTGGCGCCAAGAAGCCGATGGGTCCAATTTTGAGCGCTGGCTGAGGTGCTCAGTCGAGAAGAGATGGCCGGAACGCCCGATCAGAGCTGAGAGCAAGGCTTTGCGCGGAGCGCCGCCCGCGTCATTTCCGCACCATGCGCACCATTTCCGCGCCACTTCCGCTGCATTCGTGCCAGCCACACATTCGTCAAAGAGGGAAACCCACTCAGATTATTGTACCTTGCTCTATGAAAATCGGATCGAGAAACTGATGCTTAGAGGGCAGCTTTTTTTGGGTGCGGAAGGCCATCGCGCGTTTGATTCACCAGGGGTGGGTCGACTTATTGGGTGACCTTCCGATTGCGCTTGGGTGTCCTCTTGTAGGAATCACCAGACTGGACACGATGTAGACTGGACACGGCATGTTCGAAGGCGAGGGGCCAAGGGTTTTTGCCTGGTTTTTGAGGGGACGCCGGGCACCGAGCGTTTTCGGGGCTCCACTGCCCACATGCGTCGCTGCTGCCGCTTTGAGGCCATGGGCAGAGGCAGCATTCGGCCGGCCGGTGCGTCAGGCGCGGGAGCGGCGGTCCGGGGTGGGGCGAAATGCCGCGAGCGGGGGGGGTGGGGGTGGGGGCGGGGGGAAGATCCACCCAACACTTTCTTTTTCCTCATGTGGGTCTGCGTTTAGCAAAACCCACCCAGAAAGCATCAACAAAGACAAACAGGGCACCCCTAAAACTGGCTTTGGCTCCCTCTTGTTTTCCCTCTCCTTTGAAATCACATGTTTTTTTTGAAAGGAGGACAGGAACTACCAGAGTAGGAGTGTCTCTAGCTTTGATCAAATAGGCACTCGGGTTTGACGCGCGGGCGCTCTCTCTCTCTCTCTCTTTGTGTGTGTGTCTGTGTGTGTGTGTGTGTGTCTGGTGTCTGTGTGTGTCTGCGTGTGTCTGTGTGTGTCTGTGTGTGTCTGTGCGTGTCAGTGTGTGTCTGTGTGTCTCTGTGTGTGTGTCTCTCTGTGTGTGTGTGTGTGTGTCTGCGTGTGTGTGTGTGTGTGTCTCTGTGTGTGTGTGTCTCTCTGTGTGTGTGTGTGTGTCTGTGTGTGTGTGTGTGTGTGTGTGTGTGTGTCTGTGTGTGTCTGTGTGTCTCTGTGTGTCTCTGTGTGTCTCTGTGTGTCTCTGTGTGTCTCTGTGTGTCTCTGTGTGTCTCTGTGTGTCTCTGGGTGTCTCTGTGTGTCTCTGTGTGTCTCTGTGGTGTCTCTCTGTGTGTCTCTCTGCGTGTCTCTCTGTGTGTCTGTCTGTTTGTCTCTCTGTGTGTCTGTGTGTCTGTCTCGTGTTGTTTTGTTTTTTGTTTCTTTTTTGGTTTGGATTGCGTTTTTTTCTTGTTTGCTTGCTTGCTTGTTGGTTTGTGCGCGCAAATGGCGCGGGCAAGGAGTCATGAGCCAGCCGGCGTGGGGCCCAAGACAGCATGAGCAGGCAACACTTGGAGGCACACGATTTTCCGGCAGACATGACTGCCTTGCGCGTGCCAGCCATTTCTCAGCTGTTCAGCGTGAAGCGTACGGTCACTAGGCAGGCCTGGTGGTTGTTTCCCTAGGCCTACGGCATGCAGACCTACGCTGCGGCTCCACCGACCTACACTGCGGCCCCACAGAGAGGCTGTCAAGGGCAGCCTGCTGGCCGTGTTCTGCAAGGTTTTCTCTTAAGGTCATGGCACCCGTACTTGTTGGCATGCTTTTTGACACGTCGCCCCTTGTGGAGAGACACGGGGTACGGGGCAGGTGATCTCTTCTCCCAGCTGGACACAAACAACGATGGAGTCGGCAGCTCAGTGAATCGACACAGGCGCTTCAGAACGGCGAGAGTTGGACAAAAGGGCTCGGATCTGTTTGCTTTGTTTGACCTCTACCGGCAAGGTGGGTATGCATGATTCTTCGGTTTGGGATGTTGGCCCAGGTGCTCAGTCGAGAAGAAATGGCAGTCGGGCGCCAAACATGCCGCTCGCGGCTCTCTCTCTCTCTCTCTCTGTGTCTGTCTCTCGCTCTCTCTCTCTCTCTTGGTCGGGGTTCCTGTGTGTAGCCGCGTCGATGCACATGAAGCTTCTTCCGAGGACACCATTTTGCATAGCGGCCCTTTGAGGCAGCGAGGTATCTCAAGGGAGCGCCGGCACAATTCGAACATCAGGGCTCTAAGAGGCTCTGGAAGAGCTGCGGGAAACCGCAACAAGGGACCCCGTAGCATCATCTTGGGGATTTCGATCCACACCCATGCTTTCTCGGAGCCCAGCTTTCAGAAGATTTCCCGAAACGAGCGGAACGAGTGGGATTTTCGTCGGCTTTTCCGAGGCCATGGGCGCCCGTTCAGGTGCAGAGCTCCGAGATCTGGTCGCCTTGAGCCTTTTGGGCGTGTCCCGTTTGGAGTTCTTTGGCGCATGTTGCCAAGGGATGTTGGGACTGAACAGCTTTTTTGCCAACCCAGGGGTTTTCGCAGGGGAGCTAAAGGGGCGCAGGGGAGCAGAAAGCCACCGAGGCTTTTGATTTGGAGTTGGGATCCTGCGGATGGCCACGAAATGCGGACATCCATTTCGCACCACGCATTTTCAGAAGCCCAAGGGAGCGATATGTGATTCGCCCGGTAAATACCGGCAAAGGATGGTTGGTTTTCATGGTTTCTTAGGTGGTGCGAAGTGGATTTCGTCCAGCCACAGGATCTCTATTTGGGTTTCAAAGGAACGCCCAAAGGAACGCTGCAGCCATTTTGGGCACCTAGGCATCATTCTGGCGGCGGACTCATGTCCGCCAACCACTCACGAGGCGATTCCCTGTTATATCACTAAGGATCATTTGATGTAGAAGAAATGACATTGGGTGTCACCAAATCACCAGAAAGGAAATGGGTTCCTACCCTATCCCCATGTCATTGGGGAATATAACGAGTATTGCCTGCGGCTCATATGGGCTTGATTTTGAATAGAACCCCAAAAATCCCGGGGCCCCGTTTCGTTTCGATTTCAGCCCGGTTCAAGGGTTCCAAATGGAGGACTTGCGTTGGGTCAGTTTTAAGGAACGCCAAGAGGAAACCAGGCGCTCACCCCACCCCCCTCAACATTTTTTTTTCGGTCGCAGGTGCTCCTATTCCTACGGAGCACGTCGCCCTTGGCACGGTGCGGGTCTCAATGCCGGACTCCGGCTGTCTCGGTTATGGCCAGCGGACCAAAATCCATCACTTGGGATGGATGAAGCATGAAGCCCTAGAAGAACTGGGAGAAACCACCTGGTTTGACCATTCACAGTCGAGTCCTTTTTCTCTTGAGAAGGGGGATTCCAAGTTCTATGAGGGGCGCAAACCACTCGGCGCAACTGACATCGGAGTTTCAGCCAAGCTGAAGCTTGTTCAAATCCTTTGCAATTGCAAAATGACTTTCTGAATTCACATCTATTCTGAGATGTTACCAACTATTTGCACATATGCCACCGTCGCGGAGGTCAATTGCGCGAACTGCGGCAACGTGTACCTGAACGCGCCTTGTCTGAAGATGTCCAAAACGCACTGCTCCGAAGGTGTATCTATGTTTTGGTCAGTTTCTGGCGCTTGTTTCAAAGAAGAGTCAAATGGGGCCTTCTATTTCAACATGACACAGCCAAATGGTTGGTTTCCTTCTTTTTCTTGGCAGCAATCCGTTTTCACGGTCATTGGAAACACCGGCGGTCTCAAGCAGTTTCATGACCGGATACTGGATATCCACTGAACATGTTTGGGTGGCCTGGGTTTCAGTTGACTCTGCAAGGTTCTGATCATTACTCAGCAGTTTGGATGACACAGTTCCCAACTAGTTCGATCAAAGGAGTGCGTGTGAGAGAGAGGGCAGAGGCAGAGCCAAAGGTCGGCAGAGAATTCGTTCGCCACAAGGTCGGGCTTCGGATTGCAAATGTCTTTCGCACGCGGGAAAGATGGGACACATATTTCGTACAGGTCTCGGTTTTATGATGTCTCCTCTCCTGGTGTCCTCAAAGCAGATGTCGGAAGGAATCCGTTTCGATGCGGCGAGGACTCCTTCTTCTGCCGGAAGTGTGGGACAAAGCGGCCTTAGCGCCGGCCTCGGCTGCGTCGAAGATTCTCGAAGGCCTGGAGAGCGCCTCGATAAGGTGACGTTTGACGGGGACATATATATATATATACACACATACGGTACCCCCCCCCCCCCCCAAAGAAAAAAAGAAAAGAACCAGAAAAACACCACGGCCTAAGATAACTTGCAGTTTACAGTACTTTTGGGTGATGCCCACCCCCTTTTCACGCACTCCAATTGTGACCCCAATTTTGGCAATCTAAAAATGCTTGCATCTGCACATTTGACTGCACTTCTATCCACCTAAAATGGTTTGAAGCGCTTTAAAACACTTTTGGATGCAAGATTTAAGGACTCTTGTGCTTGAATCTTGAATGCATGAGCTACCTGGATGAAGCGCTTTAAAGCGTCTGCTTTCAGTCATTCCTGCGTGGTTGTGCACCTTATTATTCTTTTGGACTTGTATGCGGTAAATACGCTTGATAGTTCAGTACGGACATTGGAGAACTAATTCAATAGAAAATGATTGAACTAAATCCACGCTAACCCATGGATATTGAAACAATCCCTGTAAATACCAGGGTTTTGCCTGCTTCTAGCAAAGGGGATTTGCAGATGAGTTGAGATGAGAGATGGAAGATGCATGGCTTGGCACAGGTTTGCAAGTTGACAGACGAAGAGGACTTGCACATTAGTTGAGATGAGCACTCGAACATGCGTAGGCGAAGTGGTGGAGGCATTGTTTGCTCCATTGGTGATACCCTTTCGCCGGCATTCTCACAGACATGTTTTACAGTTAATTGGACTAGGCAAACAAACATTAGTGATTACGACTATGACAGCAAACTTGATATGGACACATTTTAATAGAAATACATGAAAATCAAATCACGGCTTCCTACTGACTGATATATTTGAGATCTTCAACAATGCATATATGAACAATGATGGCTTAGATCCTATGTGTTGTGACGCTTAACTTGGTTTCGTTTTTACATTGTACTTGGTATGATGTTTGAGTTAGCTTGTGTTGGCATACATTTAGTTTATGACTAGAAGACACATGAAATGATTGAATGAGGGCTAAAAGGAGGACTGCTAAACACATTTGTTAGAAAGCAGAAGCACCTACGATTTTATTTTGATGCGTGGGTGGTAAACAATAATGGCTAATATTGTACAATGAGCTTACTTCCGGTAATATCCATCTTGAATGACTTGATTTCCCTCATTGTCATATATTCAGTGGGCGCGGAGGTGCATATGTATATATATATAGCCATGTAACCCTTTTGGATGGCTGTTGAAGAGACCAAAGGGAACAATCCATCTGCACAGGTCCACGATTTTTAGGAAACAACCCTATGGAACAGCTTTCAAGCAATTCCGGTTTCCTCTTTGATGAACCCCTATCAAAAAAGGGATTCATCGCAACAGGACCAGCTGAGGTGGCATTTCAGATCTTGCCCCGATTTGTCAGGATGTTTCGTGGGTTGAAAGGCTTCTACTTGGCCATTGTTAATGGGGAGTCCAGCAAACAATTTGGGCAGCCTATTTGGGACATGGGGAGTGGGGTGAGGCGGCAAAACGAGAGCCAGCAGTGAACGCAAGAGTAGGCCCATTTCCTTCAGAGGAAAGATAGGTGAGCCTACAGCTTCCTGGGCCGGCTCCTGTGTGGGACGTGTCTCTGGTTTTAGATGGGGTTCCTCTGAGGGGAACCCCCATCACCGACCGTCCGGATTCGGTGGCCCACGCCAAACGAATGCATTGGCCGGGCCAAGTTGCGAGCGACGCAACATGGTGGACAGACACGGTGGTACTAAGATTGCGCGTGCTTTACTCAGGAGAGACGTGTCCAATCCAAGAAACAGTCAAAACCCGATACAGGTTGGGGACAGGCCCAAGCAGAAACAGGCGTGGAAAGTTTCCTTTTGATTAGTAGTTTGGTATTTTGGTGCGCCCCTTTGATATCAGCTTGATTATAACTCAGCAGAGTGGACAGAAAGACACCTTGCTCGTCTCCAATGCTTCGATGCTGGGACCACCAATTGGAAAATCATCAGGGAATTCCCCCAATTGAGCTTCTGCTTCCGTTTGGTTCTCTCCAAAAGCCCCATGCGAGCTACCCTCGACGCGCTCCGCGCGGCGCTTCACACGTCGCTCGCGGGGAAATCGCTTGAGTCAGCGCTTGCCGCAGCGGCCGCGGGCTTTGAGGCTGACGGTCCAGGGAAATCAACGGCTGGCGGAATGGTCAGCAGGGGAATCGGGAAGTTTTATCTTTTTGTTGTTCTTCCGCGTTCACCCCGAAAAGAAAAAAAAAACCAAAAAAACATTGTTTTGTTCCAAGCCATTCCAAGGTGAGCTGGTTTGCGGATCAGGGGGTCCCCTTGAGCAAGCCAGAGGTTTTCGGATGTTCCTCTTGCTGGACTCAAGTCTGGGGGGGGGGTCTCAAAAAAATAGGGATTCAGAGATTATGCGACATGGTTGTCCCGAGGGTTGTCCCCTTGCTTTTTGAGCTTGGGACTCAAGTAGCTGGAGCGTGTGACTCTCCCTGGACCGCCCCTCCTCGAAGCCAAAGATGCGATCGGTTTCGGCGCGGACAAAGGTCGAACGAAGGAAGGTGTTCGCGCGGGAGGATTTGCTTCCGGACCCCGGCTGGAACTAAAAGGAGAGATTGGGAGGTCGCTTGAAGACCAGGCGTTTAAACATGAAAAAAAACCAGAGGTTAGCGCCAGCCCGGTTACTCCCGGTAGCTCCCATTTTTGGGAGGGTGTTCAAGGGGGGAAGCCACTCATTTCGAGGACTCCCGTATGTTGAGACGACCCATTTCCCTGAATACCCCCGAAGATGCGCCTCTGAGCCACCATCATGAAACTGCGCCTACCACTTCCCAAAACGGGGGGGGGGGGGGCTTTCGGGCTGCTTCCTAGGCAGCGTGTGACAGAAGCAAAACTGAATGAGTCCTTGAGGGTAGAGGACAGCCGTAGCCGTAGAGCCGTAGGGTAGGGTGGATTTCAGGTACTATAGACTCCTTTGACAGCCGAGCCGTAGAGATCTAGTAGATAGGTGATGCCGTTCTTTGGATTTGACATGGATTTCAGGTATACTCCTTTTTGAAGTTGTGTTTGGGGTGTGTTTGGGACAGGTCAAATTTATCGCTTCGGGCGGGATCGCTTGGACATGCATGGAGGCGGCCACGCGCCAGACTGCCGGACGGCTTGCGCACCTCTCAAGGTAGCCGAGGGCTCACGCGGCGTCGCACTTCTCAAGTCCAAACTGGACTCCAGAGATGCGGCTTGGCAGGAGTTAGAGCAGATTGAGAATCGATGGAGCCACACTCAAAGCTTGGTGCAGTCTGAAAGTTGATGAAACCAAGCAGCTATGAACTTAAAGCGCCCGATTGGAGATCAATCCAAGTATTGCTGATGTCCGCCAGATGATCCAGCCAGACATTCATCCCAGAACTGCACAGGAGTACCTCAGCTTGTGATTTTGTGCCAATCGCTGCGAAGGTTCAACGCCATCCGATGCGCTCGCCTCAATACGACTCAACTTGGCACCTCTCGGTCAGCTGGAATGCCCGCTGATTCGGGTTGAGTGACCCACAGAATAAGCCCAGACATTCAGTTGGGGGAGGGGGTGGTAAGAGACCTGCTGCGCGAATCCAATTGGTGGCTTCTGGCAATGTGCCGCTGGTCTTGTGCCAACTTGTTTTCCATTTGTGCGGGTTTCAAGGGAAGCACAAGGAAGCCTTTTTGAGCCCCATTTTGGTGTCCTCATTACCAGACATTTCGGTGCTGAGGCTGAACCGCTTCAATGCCAAATGTCTCATTTTAGCAGCGCCCTGAGAGCCACACTGAGGTTGGTGTGGATGGTCAGCCCCTGGATTTTATGTTTCAAAAAGTCATGTTTAAGCTCGTAGCCCTTGGAGAAGGAACATTTCCCTAGCAAAGATGTCGGATGTTTGAGGCACTTCCCTCGACAAATTGGAACCTGGGCCCTTGGAGGGCGTGTGGGAATGATTGGATGGCTCCCACTGCTCGGAACCTTACGTCATGGGGGCTGGGGAAGTAAGGGCTTAGTAAGGGATTATTTGGGCTCCCTCCCCCTCCCCTCCCTCCCCCCCAGTCCCATGACTACTCTCGAAAATCGAGACTGAGAAGGCCGACCTCAAGCATCAGACAAGTGGAAAGTCCCACTGGAAAGACGTTTCGGCTGCAAGGGACCAAAGGACAAACGAGGCCAGATATGCAACCACGAACCTGACCAGACCAAAGCGAGCGAAAGGTGACCAATGTTTCCAAGCCACATCAGTGGCCAACCTTGATGGCCGCGGGGGGTCCAATTTGCACAGAGCAACCAACGGATCGCGTTTGCGAGCAGCTGATTTGCCTTCTCGCGGGTACCCGCGATAGACACGATCGAGGGGATTGCAGAACTTTCTTTTTCCCCAGATAGCTGAAAGCTATAGGGGTTCTAACTTCTAATAAAGAGGGGAAAGTGATTTGCGAGATTGAGGGCCGGGTGCTAGGGGGCATGCAGTTTGAGGTGCTGGTGGATGCTGCTTTGCGAGCTTGACGGCCGGGTGCTAGGGGGCATGCAGTTTGAGGTGCTGGTGGATGCTGCTTTGCGAGATTGAGGGCCGGGTGCTAGGGGGCATGCAGTTTGAGGTGCTGGGCTGGTGGATGCTTTGCGAGATTGAGGGCCGGGTGCTAGGGGGCATGCAGTTTGAGGTGCTGGTGGATGCTGCTTTGCGAGCTTGACGGCCGGGTGCTGGGGGGCATGCAGTTTGAGGTGCTGGTGGATGCTGCTTTGCGAGCTTGACGGCCGGGTGCTCGGGGGCATGCAGTTTGAGGTGCTGGTGGATGCTGCTTTGCGAGCTTGACTGCCGGGTGCTAGGGGGCACGCAGTTTGGGGTGCTGGTGGGTGCTGCTTTGCGAGCTTGCCGGGTGCTAGGGGGCATGCGGTTTGGGGTGCTGGTGGGTGCTGCTTTGCGAGCTTGACGGCCGGGTGCTAGGGGGCATGCAGTTTGGGGCGCTGGTGGGTGCTGCTTTACGAGCTTGACGGCCGGGTGCTAGGGGGCATGCAGTGTGGGGTGCTGGTGGATGCTGCTTTGCGAGCTTGACGGCCGGGTGCTTGGGGGCATGCAGTTTGGGGTGCTGGTGGGTGCTGGGTGCTAGGGGGCATGCAGTTTGGGGTGCTGGTAGGTGCTGCTTTGCGAGCTTGACGGCCGGGTGCTAGGGGGCATGCAGTTTGAGGTGCTGGTGGATGCTTTGCGAGATTGACGGCCGGGTGGGGGGCTGCTGGTTTGCGAGCTGGCCGGCGAGCTTGACGGCCGGGTGCTCGGGGGCATGCAGTTTCGGGTGCTGGTGGATGCTGTTTTGCGAGCTTGACGGCTGGGTGCTGGGGGCATGCAGTTTGGGGTGCTGGTGGATGCTGTTTTGTTTTTCGAGCTGGCCGGGTGCTAGGGGCATGCAGTTTGGGGTGCTGGTGGATGCTGTTTTCCGAGCTTGACGGCCGGGTGCTGGGGGGATGCAGTTTGGGCTGCTGTGGATGCTGTTTTGCGAGCTGGCCGGGTGCTAGGGGGCATGCAGTTTGGGGTGCTGGTGGATGCTGTTTTGCGAGCTTGACGGCCGGTGCTAGGGGGCATGCAGTTTGGGGTGCTGGTGGATGCTGCTTTGCGAGCTTGACGGCCGGGTGCTAAGGGGCATGCAGTTTGAGGCGCGGGTGGATGCTGCTTTGGTTGTACCGGGTGCTAGGGGGCATGTTTGGGGTGCTGGTGGATGCTGTTCGCGTGTAACGGTTCGTGCCTGGTGTATCGTCATGATGTTCCCACGTTATGGTGTGTGGGCGTAGTGGCGCCGTGATGCTGTCAACATCAGGATGATGCAGAATTTCATTAAGCTGTCGCAAGATGGTTCGTGGCTGTGGTATCATCATGATGCTGCCTTTACCATCAGCATGATGCTGTTCGCATCACCATGATGCTGTCCGCATCATCATGATGCTGTCCGCATCATCATGATGCTGTCGAACTCATCAGGACCTCGTTTTTGCTTTTTCCTGCCGGATTGCTCTCAAAATCATCATTATGCTGCTGATCTCATTAGGACGTTGTCTGCGCGTTTGTTTCGTGGCTGTGGTGTCATCATGGTCTACATCATCATGATAATGCTGCGTCATGGTTCGTATCCGTGGGACATGTCCAGTTGAGCCACAATATCCCGGGTAGATGAAGGTTAGTAAGGGATACCCCCAACCACAAGTGGGTGCAGCTGCCTTTTGAGTTCTTTACACGGTTCTGGGATTACGACCATTTTACTACCGGGTTCTGATTATGACTTGTTTTCTGTTTTGTTCTGCGGCATACAAAATTGTGACTCCTGTTTTGTTCTGATTGTCACTCTGTTCCGGGAGGGACAAGTAGGAGCTCACGAAGTGTGCTACCAAAAAAGCCGGGGGACGCGTGGCGGAAAGCCTAGGCGCTGCTGCTGCAAACCGGAAGTGGGGGCTCCCAGCACCTTCGGTCAGCAACGCAAAAGCCCCATGGCCAGTTGGGTGTGTGCGTGTGTGTGTGTGTGTGTGTGTGTGTGTGTGTGTGTGTGTGTGGCTCTTTCTCTCTTGCTCTCTCTGTGTTTGTGAGGGTTGGTTTGAACGGAGTTTAGCAGAAAAAGGCTCCGGTTTTGGCGACTTGGCCGCTGTAACTCTTGATACCCTCTTTTTAGCAATGAGGGAAGTGGACGTTCGGGGCCTCTTCAAGAGAGGGGTACCCGCACTTGATTTTGGGCATCACCCATCTTGACCAGACGGGAGCAGGCTTGACCCTCGTGACTCTGTTTGATAGCAGGCTTCGGCATCAACTACAGCAATAGTTTGTCACCAGGTGCATTTGCTGGCAGAAGCACCCTGCGCCGTTACAGGTTCACCCATTCTTTTCGGCCCCTGCCAGTGAACAGCAAGGATTGTGGCTTGGCCTTGTCTCACTTTACCTTCACATTTCACTTGCCACCTTCGCGTGTGTTGTGTGGGTATCTTACTTGGTGGTGAGGCTCTTACATCCCCCACAAATAGCTTTAATCTAACACGAATCATATTTGTTTTCTAGTTTCCCTGCTTCTTCCTTTTTAGACTTGAAGATCTATTCTGCAATCCTGGTGTCAAGGACATGAGCTTGGGCACACTAACCAAAATGTAACTGGGAAATGCAGGTTACTCACCAACATCGAATGTCGTTGGGGACACAATGCATGGGTGTCTTTTTGTTCAGGGTATCATCTTCAGGGTAAGAGCGCCTCGCTGATTCGGAGACATACTGTGGATGGACGAAATCCTGCACCACCTCAGAGACCCTGGAAGGTTGATTCCCCTGTAAATACCAACGAACAATGGTTTCAACCATGGTTACCAAGTGGTGCGAAATGGATTTTGTCCATCCACGGTATCGATAGTGCGTCTCGGAGTTTGCGAGTTCGGAGCCAGGGGCCACGGACCACTGTGCGGATGAGGCCGGTGCGGGGAAGAAGGGGTCAGTCTCAAGTCAGAGGAATTGGGACCACGGTAGCCTTTTTGTTTGGGTTGTTTCGAAGGAAAAGCAAGGAAGAACCCATTTTGAGAGTCCACCTTTGGAGAAAAACGGTTCAAGGTACACTAGGAGCTGGAATTCGCCTCCGTAGCGGGTCTTTGTTTGAGCTGCATTACGCCTTTCGGTCGATGGAAAGCGATGGATTCCCGCAATGGGGGCAGAAACCACTGTCAACCCGATTCTTCTCCACAGCAACAGCTGGCTCGGTTTGCCAATGGGCAGGGCAGTTGCTGGGTTCTGGCTGGGCAGGTTTCGTGGCTGGGGACACTGCTGGATTGCCTTTTTTCTGGCGCAACCTGGATACTGCCCTGAACGTAAGTCTTAAAATTGCGACGAGCTAGGTGCCCTTTGCGCCTGGTGATTCTTTTTGGTTCCCACCTGAATTTCTGCCACATAGCGCCACATGTCTCCCGTTTCCCGTTTTCTCCTCAGCCTCATGCTTATGCTATTTATCCTGACCCGTTTGGCTCCTTGTCAGTTTTATCACCACAAGCATGTGACGTTCGGTCAAAATGTCCGGCAGTTGGAGAATGGTCCGGGACATAGGAAGGAGGAAGCACCGAGTTTGGAACCCGAATCCCGCGTCCATTGCCGCGAACTTTTGCAATATGTGGACCCTGGCTATGGCCGGTTTTCCTTCTCCCTTGTTTCTTGACGTGTGAGCGGGCTACTTTTTCAGGCCATATTCCTTTCACAACTACCCATGCCCTTTTCAAATTGCATTCCTCGACAATATGGCACACTCATCCCAAGCAAAAAAAGGGAGCCCTTCAGGGCTGTAAAAATATATGTTTGCTTGTTTTTGCGCCAGTTGCGTGGGTTGTGGCTTCTACATGGTTGTTGTCGGGGAACATTTTGCATTTTTGCTTATTGTGGTTTAGTGGTTGACATCCCCACTTCACTGCTAAAAAATATTTTTTGGGTCCCCTTCCAACGTCAGCCAAGTATTACCATCTTAGTACCAGGTTTTCATTGAGAATCCAGTTGTGGCCAGGTCTTCTTTCAGTACAGAACCCGGCAGACCGTTTTAGTACCGGGTTTGTGGTCTAGTCGTCGTGGGGATGGCTTCCATCTCCCCGCGAGGTGTCCTGGCTTCAAAGCAGCCGGCCGAGTCCCAGGCCCGGCCGAACCTCGGGTTTTTTTTTTTTCCGTGTTTTTTGGAGTTGGTAACCCCTTGTTGGTTGGGTTTGAAAGGAACGCCAGGAAAAAACTGACATTTGGGGGTCCATTTTTTAAAAGAAAAACAGAGACACCCTAAGGGTTTTATGATGTGTTTCTTCTGCAAAACCCACGCAACAATTCATAAATTTCAGCAAATGTCAAACCCATGATGCCCACCACGTCAAGTGATCGAAGTGCTGGGAAGGAAACAAATGGCTGCCGAGTTTCTCAGGAACGTGTGGACTTGAATGGATGTGAGGCCTTCAGACGCTGGTGGAGTGATGTTAACCCCGGATTAATAAACCCCTGGTTGATTCATAGGCGGGTGTCCCCTTTCAGTGGGGATTCATCGCTTTTGGAGGGAACACCGCCCTATTAATCAACCAGGGGTTTGTTAATCCTGGGTCAACATTATTTGCTGAAGACTGATTTGGCCGTGGTTGTCAAAACCAATCAAATCCCATTTCGGGGTAGGTGAATTCACCACCCAGTTTAGTCTGGATTTTAGTGGTTGGATTGGGCTGTTCACCGGGGGTACAGGGTTTTGACCCCCAGCCATTTGGGAGTTCTAAAGACTCAGCGCTCGACTTCGCAAGCATTCGGACTCAGCGCGATATTTTCAAGATTGAGGAATCGGTTTGAAAAATGCGAACTCTTCTACCGTAATACACCCCATATTGCGGTTTTGCTGCAAGCAGTTGGCTAGGACGTCCTCCTTCTCCGAGAGTCCGCCATGTTCAGAGCGTTGGATTGACGATTCAGACTTGGCGAGAGAAAGGGGTGCCTGGTGTTGTGCTTCCAGGCCAGCGACCATCGCCGAAGGCGCGGTGTTGCCCGCGTTTTTGGGTTTGCCTTTCATTGGAAGCTGCGAGCGTTTCGACTTTTGACTCGGACGGAGTCTATTGTTTGGGTATCGGCTTCGGGTGGTGCACTTCCCGGAGGTGTTGCAGGTTGCCGGATATGTGTATATATATATATATATTGAATGGTCCCTCACCCTTCTCGGGTGGTTATATTGATTGGCGGGTATGTGGACACCCTCCAAACTAGGAGGTTTACACTTGTTTCCCCTCCCCGGAAATCAGTAGGATGGGGTGGCGCAAGCATCCTTAGCCAGATGCCTGGCTGGAGAAGTTCGGAAGTTCAGTCCTCCAAGGCCCCCAGGGCAAGCTCCCTGGATCGTTGAGTCCTGCTCGATCCGTCGGCCCCGAGCCGCAATGCTAGGCTTTTCTGCCTGGTTGTCAAGGCATGGCTTGTCAGGCCGGGCGACCTCGATGTGTGTGTGTGTGTGTGTGGTGTGTGTGCGCGCGCGTGTGTGTGTGTGTGTGCCTTTTTCTGGGTTGGTTTTAGGGGGACACCAAAAGGAAACCAATCAGTGGGCCCCCCCATTTTGACAGATACCCAGGTGGGTTTTCACACGGACTCGACTTTGAAATCAGCATGAGCGCCAAAGAGAACTTGTTTTTGGCCCCATCCCCAAAACTCGGATCATGGGAAGATGTGGATGGACGAAATCCATTTCGCACCACCGTTCAGAAACCCTGGTGTCTGATTCGATTCTCTGGTAAATACCAACACAAAAAACAAGGTTTTCCGCATGGCTTCAAAGTAATGACGGCTTTTGTCCATCCACAGTTGTTCCTTTTGCCAGTCTCGTTTTCCTGGGCAAGGATGATTCCCCAACGTAAATGCCAACAGACGTGATGGTTTCCGCATGGCTTCCAAGTGGCGTTTCCGGCGGATTTCGCTTGACCATCCGCGCTGCGGATCAAAGTGATCGGTTTAGACTGGTTGCCCCCTCTTGCCCCCTAGGGCAGTGCACGGCTGTTTGCCCTTAAATGTGGAGCAGGTGAACGAACCACACAAAAACGGCGAAAGATAAAATGTCCGAAGCGAGTTTGAAGTGTACAAGAAATCCAAGGGAGCAGAAGTCATGGAGTACCCTTTTATATAGCTCAATTTGCAGAGCTTTCCTTGTTCCCTAGTGGCAATGCAGGAATCGCCAGAGAGTTCCATGGTTTTGAGCCCATGGAGGAGCATGTTCTTGGAGCATGTACGTTTGGGATTGTCTTTTTTGAGGCTCGGCAACCTTGCGTGGTCGCTGTCAAGGGCAATTAAAGGGACCCACCCGTTGTGGGGGTTGCCCTCCCACCCCCCCACCCCCCATGAGATAGGGGACTGAGTAATCAGAATGGGGGTTGTCGGGGCTGTTAAAGTCAGAAGTCATGACCATAAGAGCATCATGTAACTATGTAGCCCCTTATATGGGGCGGAGGAATGGGTGTGCTTTGTTTTTTGGAGGCCCAATTTTGAAGTTGCTAGCCAAGAGGCAACCAAGAGTGAGTCTCCCATATTTCAAGACACACGCAAGTGGGCCAAGCTTACCTGAGAGTGTCCCGTTGCTCGCCCGAAGGAGAAAGCCTGACAGACAGGGCATAGTGCAAGGGCCAATAGCGCGAGGGTCTCCTGGGGGTTCCGTGGGGCAAATGATCCTGGAAAACCTGGCACGCGCGGTCCACGCATGTGAAGCCAAAATCAGCCGTGACCTCAAAGACATCCCAACGTTGACATTTGTCATAGGATCCCAGCCCTGTCCCAAGCCCCACTTCCCTTTGTTTCCTCCAAAGGCCAGGGCCGCAGTACGGCCGATCAGGGAGCAGAGAGTGCAGTCCGACATGTTCTCCCGGGCCAGGAGCCGCCAGGATGCTTCACACTGCCGCCAGCTCGGAGTTTCTGGGTAGCTTGACATGCAGTAGTAGTAAGATGGCCCCTTTTTGGGACCTGGAAGACGTTCAGGGTTGCTTCTCCTGGCCATATCCCAAAAGGAAGCTTACTTCAAATTGGCCCAAGACGCTTCAAAGCCCACCGGTGGTTGCCGGGTATCGGCTCTTGGCAGCCATCGGCAAGACACGCTTTCAATGCGCAGGGCCACAAAGGGTCTACCTCTCAACATGAATCCAAGCAGTCGTAAAGCAAGCGCAGCATCGCTGTGATTCTAAAATTAGATTGCGGTTGGTTTACTTTGGAGTACTCTGGAATCCGCCGTGCCTCGCAAAAAGACACATTCGGAATGCTCATTGCAGCCTGACAATAAACGCGGGCAAAAACAACTGCCTACTGCATCGTCATACTGAAAACGCGGCATTTGGAGGTTGCCTGCCGGAAACCCATGGTCAAAAATCGGCTGCGGCTGCCGACTGGCCCACATCACAGGTGCTTGGCTCAAAAAGCTCTCCTTTCGCAAAGAGCAGCAGGTGCTGGTTGCGAAGTGTTCAAGTCCACCAACACTCGCAACCTAACTGGAGGCCAGAAGAGTTGTTTTCTCTATGCTATCTTTATGGCCAGCCCTCATGGGTTGCCTGCGCCACAAACTTAAACCCTAAATCTAAACCTAACCCAAAACACCAAAACCTTTACCTAAGCCGAAAGCACCGCGTGAATCCTAAGCCCAAACCAGAACCCTAAACCTAAACCCAGAACCTAGCCCCTGTACCTCCCCAAGCCCCACCCTAATCCAGGGCACGACACCGAGACTTAAATCCTTCTATTCCAAAGCCCCAATCCCTAAACCTAAACCCTAACCCTAGCCCCGAAGCTTCAGCCGGAAGCCTAGACCTGCCAAGACTGAGACCCTAAGCCCAAAAGCCGGAAACCCTAAAGATTGCAGACCACACCCTAAACCTAAACCTTAAGCCAAGACGTGAACCCCAAGCCGCTTAGCCTTCCCAGAACCTCGGCCTGAAGCCTAAACCTTAAGCCTACAGGTTCTGCACCGGCCAAGTACGGGGCAGCAGGTCCCTAGGTCCCCCAGAAGTGCCCTTGAACCGTTTCTTTTTTGGGGGAGATTCGGTTCCCCTACTAAAATAGACCACAGAAAAAAACTCGGGTACCCTTAGTCTAACCTCTCTACTGGAGGACCTAGATGAGGGTGCGGGCAACCCACTGGGGCTTTGGGTACATATAGGAGGACAGTGCCCGCCGTCTCGTCAGGGCGCCAGCCCGCCAGCCTAGGCCGAGCCGACGCGGCCGCGCGGTGTCGAGCGCTTGGGATCAGACGTTCGTTCGATGGCTGCAACATGGACGCGGCTGTGGCTGCCCTTAATTCTTAGATGCTCGAAAGTGCAGCAGGCAGGGCAGGCAGGGGATGTGGGCATGTTGGGTCAAGGGCAATGCTGTGACCACGACGAGACTCCCATAATCTGCAGCCGTTGAGCATCACCCAAAATAGGGTGTCAAATAGCAAAGGGTGGGCTGTTGCGCCAAGGACGGTTGCTTTGAAAGGCAACCCTCTGGGTTCCCACAAGGAGGCTTAGAAGTTTAAAAGCGAGTTTTCCTATTTTGGGTGATGCTCAACGGCTGTAAATAATGGTAGGCTTGTCGCATTATGTTGGTCACAGCATTGCCCTTGACCCAACATGCCCCACATCACCTGCCTGCTACACTTTCGACTATTGTCTAAGAATTAAGGGCAACCGCACTTTGGCTATTTGACACCCTTGCAACAGAGGCCAACAGGCTTGGTCGTTTTTTCCCGGAGGCATTGCGAAGGGTTCTTCTTCTAAAAGCGGCTGCCAACTTCACCTGCCAACTTCTCATGCCAACTTGTCGAGAGCTACTTCACCTGCCAACTTCTCATGCCAACTTGTCGAGAGTTACTTCACCTGCCAACTTCTCATGCCAACTTGTCGAGAGTTACTTCACCTGCCAACTTCTCATGCCAACTTGTCGAGAGTTACTTCACCTGCCTACTTCTCATGTCAACTTTTTGAGAGTTACTTCACCTGCCAACTTCTCATGTCAACTTTTCGGCTGTTATCTCATTCTACTAAAAGCACAAGCTAATTTGTCGGACTTCTCATGTCAACTTTTCGGCTGTTATCTCATTCTACTAAAAGCACAAGCTAATTTGTCGGGTGTTACTTCACTATCCTAAAAACACAAGCTAACTTTTCTGTTCTACCTTCACTTCTCGACTCTTAATTCTTCTTCTTTTTATGGCGGGGGTAGGCCCGACGGGAGCTTACGAAACGCACCCCTCTGCGGAGATCGTGCGTGTCGAAGCGCTCTCGCTGTGGCGCCGTGCGAATTTGTCTTGAGCCGGCGAACCCTCTGCGGAGATCGTGCGTGTCGAAGCGCTCTCGCTGTGGCGCCGTGCGAATTTGTCTTGACCTTGGCGAACCCTCTGCGGAGATCGTGCGTGTCGAAGCGCTCTCGCTGTGGCGCCGTGCGAATTTGTCTTGACCTTGGCGAACCCTCTGCGGAGATCGTGCGTGTCGAAGCGCTCTCGCTGTGGCGCCGTGCGAATTTGTCTTGACCTTGGCGAACCCTCTAACCCTCGCGGAGATCGTGCGTGTCGAAGCGCTCTCGCTGTGGCGCCGTGCGAATTTGTCTTGACCTTGGCGAACCCTCTGCGGAGATCGTGCGTGTCGAAGCGCTCTCGCTGTGGCGCCGTGCGAATTTGTCTTGACCTTGGCGAACCCTCTGCGGAGATCCTGCGTGTCGAAGCGCTCTCGCTGTGGCGCCGTGCGAATTTGTCTTGAGCCCGATGAACCCTCTGCGGGGATCGTGCGTGTCGATCGCTCTCGCTGTGGCGCCGTGCGATTTTCTTGCTCGCGAAACGGCTTTTGGAAGTTGTCTCGTGGTGTGCGCGCCTGCTTTCGCAATCCCGCGGTCCCGGGTTCGATTCCCCCCTGGTCCGCGGCAGCTCCGGCTTGAAAATCGCAGCTTTTAAGTACAAACGTAGTACGCGGAGCGTGCTCCTGCAGCTCCGGCTGGAAAATCGCAACTTTTAAGTACAGACGTAGTACGCGGAGGCTGCTGCAGCTCCGGCTGGAAAATCGCACTTTTTAAGTACAGACGTAGTACGCGGAGCGTGCTCCCGCAGCTCCGGCTGGAAAATCGCAACTTTTAGATACAAATGGCTGGAAAATCGCAACTGTAAATTGCAAATGTAGCACGCGGAGCGCCTCCGCCGCTCCAGCTTTTTGAGGGTTAATTACTTCACCTGCCAGTTTCTCATGCCGAAACTTCGAGAATTACTTCACCTGCCAGCTTCTCATGCCACCTTTTCGAGAGTTACTTCACCTGCCAACTTCTCGTGCCAACTTTTCGAGGAGTTACTTCACCTGCGAGCTTATCATGCCAACTTTTCGAGAGTTACTACACCTGCGAGCTTCTCATGCCAACTTTTCGAGAATTACTTTACCTGCCAACTTCTCATGCCAACTTTTCGAGAAATACTTTACCTGCCAACCTCTCGTGGCAACTTCACCTGCCAACTTTTCGAGAATTACTTCACCTGCCAACTTCTCATGCCAACTTTTCGAGAAATACTTTATCTGCCAACCTCTCGTGGCAACTTTTCGAAAAATTACTTCACCTGCCAGCTTCTCATGCCAACTTTTCGAGAGGTACTTCACCTGCCAACATCGCCTGCCAACTTTTCGAGAGTTACTTCGCCTGCCAACTTCTCGCGCCAACTTTTCGAGAATTACTTCGCCTGCCAACTTCTCATGCTAACTTTTCGAAAGTTACTTCACCTGCCGGCTTCTCACGCCAACTTTTCGAGAGTTACTTCACGCGCCATCTTCTCGTGCCAACTTTTCGAGAATTACTTCACCTGCCAGCTTCTCACGCCAACTTTTCGAGAGTTATTCACCTGCCAACTTCTCTGCCAACTTCTCAACTTTTCTTACTTCGCCTGCCAACTCTCATGCCTTTTCGAGACTTCACCTGCCGGCTTCTCACGCCAACTTTTCGAGAGTTACTTCACGCGCCATCTTCTCGTGCCAACTTTTCGAGAATTACTTCACCTGCCAGCTTCTCACGCCAACTTTTCGAGAGTTACTTCACCTGCCAACTTCTCATGCCAACTCTTTGAGAGTTATTTCACCTGCCAACTTCTCATGCCAACTTTTCTCTTGAGTTACTTCGCCTGCCAACTTCTCATGTCAACTTTGCGAGAATTACTTCACCCGCCAACTTTGCCAGCCAACTATTCGAGAGTTACTTAACCTGCCAGCTTCTCATGCCAACTTTTCGAGAATTACTTCGCCTGCCAACTCCTCATGCTAACTTTGCGAGAGTTACCTCACCTGCCGGCTTCTCACGCCAACTTTTCGAGAGTTACTTCACGCGCCATCTTCTCGTGCCAACTTTTCGAGAATTACTTCACCTGCCAGCTTCTCACGCCAACTTTTCGAGAGTTACTTCACCTGCCAACTTCTCATGCCAACTCTTTGAGAGTTATTTCACCTGCCAACTTCTCATGCCAACTTTTCTCTTGAGTTACTTCGCCTGCCAACTTCTCATGTCAACTTTGCGAGAATTACTTCACCCGCCAACTTTGCCAGCCAACTATTCGAGAGTTACTTAACCTGCCAGCTTCTCATGCCAACTTTTTGAGAATTGCTTCGCCTGCCAACTCCTCATGCTAACTTTGCGAGAGTTACCTCACCTGCATCAACTTGCCTCTATGCTTCCGGGCCACTCGTCGTCTAGTTTGACAAATTATGCTGAGGATTTCTTCTTTGGAATGACTGACCATGGGCCCTGATCTACGAAATGTCATTTGCGCCTGACCATCTCGTCTGCCTTCCTTCGAACCAGATGGTTTGAGAGGACCAAGGAGCATGTCCGCAGCCGACTGACGACATGCTGTTGGCTTTTACATTTGTTTGTACTTTTCTCTCTGGTTTGCTTGATTTTCCTGTTACCTTTCAGGTTGCATGTTGTTTTCCTGTGTGTTCCTTTTTGGGGTGTTTTGCTCGCTTACCTTTCCTTCATTTTTCTCTTGTCTGGGCGTACCTTTTTGTTCTGTTTTGCTTGTTTGGGGTGTTCGTTCCTATTCCTCGTTGCGTTTTGGTTGTGTGTCCATCTATGTCTGCTGTGTTTTGATTCGGTGTTCTAGTTGTTTTTCCCGGCTTTTTCGTCGTTTTGATTGTTTTTTCCCCAAGTTGTTCTATTGTGGTTGAATTTTCAACTTTTTGTTTTGTTTTGGTTGTGTTTCCCTCCGTTTTTGTTTTGTGTTGAATGCTAGTTTCACTGTTTCGTCCCATTTTGGAGTGATTGTCGTCATTCCTCTTTTAGGTTGCGCTTTGACAGTTTGTCCGATTTCGTTGGTCTGTTTTGTTTGTCAGAGTCGCTTCGAGCTAGCAACAATTGACTATTTGCCAGGACCTGTATTTCTATCCGGTGCCAAAGCTTCGAAGCGACCCCGTTTTAGCATGTGAGACCTTACAACTAGGACGACACTGTTTTGTGTGAATATGGACATGGCTTGGGCTGCACTCTCGACCACCCGTCCCAATTTGGTGGTGTTTTTTGCTTGCAAAACAACCCAAGATGCTGATGGACATGGAGTTTTTGGTGGGTTCACCAGCAAAACTCATACTGTGGGTGGACGAAATCCTGCACACATGGAAACCATGGGACACGATTGTTGGTTGGTATTTACGTTGGGGAATCATCAGAAACCAGGGTTTCTGAACGGTGGTGCGAAATCGATTTCGTCCATCCACAGTATTGTTGAAACATCCTGGTAAAGTTGTCTCTGGCCATAGAATGGGCAATTTGGTTGAAGGGGCCGGGGATCGTTTTTTGGAGTCGAAGGGGACGTGTTTTTTTTTGGCAAAGCTTCGGCTTGAGGTCAGCTTCACTGAGCTGGTGGCGGGGCGCGACCGCATGGACCTCACGGCCGGGGAACCAGGGAACCGGGCTGGGCAAAGTGGGGATCCGGAGCCTCAAAATGGTGCGACGCTTTTCCTTTTGGCTTCCCTTCAAACACATACGCAAGAACCACACAGAAGTGAGGAATGTTCTTCGTGAAGGCTGCGGCCGAAAGGGAACTCCGTCGAGCTCAGCTGGTGGCATGCGAGGGAGCTGGACTCCCAGAGATGAGCAAAGTCGAGGTTGACTGGAGGAATAAGCCTGGCGGACATTGGAAGTGGAGAGATCTTGATACAAAAGGTAGCATACACCAGGCTAAACCTTTTGTTCCTGGAAGTGGAAGGATCTTCTCTCTCAAAAGAGACCTTGGAACCATGTGTGGGGTTCGTCGATCCCAGGTTTCCATTCACTGCCACTCTTTTGCTCTCTGGCGAAGCCAGGAGAGTCCCTTTCCCGTACATCTTCCGGTAGGTCCCAAAAAGGGAACAGACCCATCAGTCCCACAGCTCTTCAAGGGAGCACCAGTAACTTTGAGGGGCAGTGATGAGTCTTGAAAAACAGTCTGGGTCCACAAAGGGCTACTTGCACTTCCCTTTGCCAACGTTCTCTGGGAATCTGATGCGGAGGCTTGGGAAGTTGCTTTTTCTTGTCGGAAAGGCCACTTGCAGGTTCATTGCCGCACGAGGTGTAATTATTGATTGGTGGTAACGGTTAGAGCAGCTTTCAAGGTGATTGTTAGATGGTGTGCGGGCCGGCTAAAATGGTGAGCATGATGGCAAGGGTTTCCAAGGGGCAAACTGGTGGTTCGCTGGGGGTTAATAACCACTGAGCCACCTCAGTATGGCTTTTTGGGGTTCCCGCCAGACAGAGAGATGATGCTCTTTGCCATTTGAGATAGACATTCTTCAATGTACATGGCAGCCGACAGGGTTCATTTTCTTGGGACCAAGGTAGACTTCATCCAGGCGGTTCCCCTTTTCGGCAACTCCGCTGGTTGGGTCAAGTTGTGTTGCTCAACAAATGGAGCCCTTGCCCTCATGAAGGATCCATACATCCGTCGGCTGTACTTGACTGGTTTCTTGAGGGTCAACATACTGTGGATGGACGAAATCCATTGCGCACTATTTTGAAGCCATGGGAAACCATTGTTTGTCGGTATTTAGTCACAGGGGAATCGAATCATTCCAGGGTTTCATCTTCCATCCACAGAAGTGCATCCGAGAGCCGCCTCTTGATTTCCGCGCTGTGCTACACCACAGCGACCAGGATGTGAAAAGGAGCTATGGCCATTCGCACGCACGGCTGGCAGCGAAGGTGTCGGTTTCAGCTTGTCAGAGCCACAATCAAAACGTAGATGAAGGTTGAGGACAATTTGTGTACTTCCATGTTGGTGGGAGGATAGTCCCTACAAATATGTGGGGCCGCCCTGAACAGTTCTTCACATAGGTTACCCTCCCACCAACTAACATGGAAGTGCACAAAGCCCCATTTCACGAAAGTAGTCTTGCTACTGGGGTCTGTGCACTTCCATATTAGTCGGTGCGAGGGTATCTTAGTGGGACAGTTTTTACAATATGTGGGCCCGGCCTGAACAATTCTTCACATTGTGACATGGTACCAGGTTTTGGTTGTAGCTCAGGTGGCCGGTTTAGCCTTTGCCGGGGTCCTCACCGCCTTCTTCTGCGTGACTCTCTGCTTGGCCCGGCAACCCGTGATTCGGGAGTCGGGGAGTCGGGGGAAGGCAGTCTGGGTACCAAAGGTGACCTTAAAAGATTGAGGCATGATCCTCACCTTGGTTTGAAGGGAAGTCAAAAGGAACACCACCGACCCATGTACTTGATGTCTTCTTTGTCTGGGCTCGAGAGATCGTGTGAGTTGTTGGCTGGTCATCTGGAGCGTTTCAGACAAGCGGAGCGCATCCAGCTGGTTAGTAACCCTAGCTAAGTGGCTTGACGTCATATTGCTGCTGCAGTTATCATTCCTGGGGGGCAAAAAAGGCCACCTTGTTTCATGGTTGATGCATGATGAACAAGCTCCCCAACTATGAGTCAGATCAGGGCGTGTGTGTGTGTGTGTGTGTGTGTGCGCGCGTGTGTGCGTGTGCGTGTGCGTGTGCGTGTGCGTGTGCGCGTGCGTGTGCGTGTGCGCGTGCGTGTGCGTGTGCGTGTGCGTGTGCGTGTGCGTGTGCGTGTTCGTGCGTGTTCGTGCGTGTTCGTGCATGTTCGTGCGTGTTCGTGCGTGCTCGTGCGTGCGTGCGTGCGTGCGTGCGTGCGTGCGTGCGTGCGTGCGTGCTGTGTGTGTGTGCGCGCGTGTGTGTGTGTGTGTCCCGTGTCCTTTTCAGTGTGGAGCTGGGGGTTAGATGGGGGGGTTACTAGTCACTTGGCAAACTCCTACACCATATACCTGCCTTCAGGTTCGGAAAGCGACAGAAGACAATTTCGGCTTCGGTTCGCACGCGGGAACGACACCCAGCGGGACCAATCTAACATGGGGCTCCACACTTTTGGAAAACACTTCCCGATCTGCAGGAGGGGGCGCCCTCCCTCACTTTTTTCCAGGACATAGACCCACCCTATAAAAATGAGTGTCTTGTTGGAGGGCAAGCCCTCTTCAACAGGGAAGGCCAAGAAAACCAACGCCCATTTCGAGGCTTCCCGTTTTGAGACTGTCTCTGGTTGAACCTCCAAAACGTGTGATGTTCCCTTGGTTTCCCTTTCAACCACAAGAGGCAAATAGGTGATGTGGCCCATGTGGGTCTGAGGTGCGGGCTGCCTGGGTAGAGGACAAGCCGAAAGCAGAGGTGCCAGTGAAGGCGCGCTTGGCTGGATGTTGGGTGCATCTGAGGTTGGCGTGGGACTTACGAAATGGGCGTAGCTCAAGAATGAAAACCCAGGGTTACGCAGGTTTTAGTCTACTTTTCCATGTAAACCAGGGCAAGTCATTTTGGGCCCCTAGTGTTGACCCACGGCCAAATGTCCAAACGAAACGTGAGGGCAATCCCGCCCCCCCGATCTTCCCGTGATGGGAGCAAACAATGTCCAAACCTGGGTCGGGCGTTGTGGGCCCTGTTGTCCTGTTCCGATCGCTAGCCTACCCCAACGCGCAAGTCACATCAAAACGGTCTTTGTAGCAACCCCCCCAAGAATCGGCAGCGCTCCCGATTTGTGTCCCTTTCGGTGGGCACCACGTTCTGGTTGCCGCAGCGCGAGTTTCCTTTTTGTGAGGTGGGGTTTTCTGCGTATGACTTTTTTAGGGCTCCCTTTTGGGGTTGTGTCAGAGGCAAGCCAAAGGGAACTCCCCCCCTTTCCCGGCCGCTCATGTTGATAGACAAAAGGGTTACAGCTGGGAACGTTACCCCCACTTGAGGCCACAATTTTATGGGTTGCCTTCACATGAGTAGTTTGGGGCTCACCGGTTTTCCCATGCCTTCATGGCAATAGGGTACGAGGGCCTAGATAATTATAGAGTCGGGTTCGGGTTCGGGGTTCGGGGGATAGTATGACACCAATGCGGCCTTTCTTACTTTTGATTCCGTGGCTCATATAATGTGAACCCCGGATCTAAGTAGAACCCCTGGTTGATTTTCATCGCGGGGTGCCCAATTCCTTTTAGTGGAGATTCAGACCACTTTTGGAGGGACCACCCCCCTAGTAATGGGACGGGGTTTATGAATCCTGGGTCAACATTGCCCTTCAGAGTTCATTCTTTCCCACTCTCCCAAATCGCCTCAGAATAACTTGCTGGTTCTCAGCACGGAATGAGTTGACCCCAAACTAAACCATCCCCTATGGTTTTCTTTGTTCGGGAATCCCCAAAACCAGTTCCTTCCCAGCACCCGGAAGGTCGTCCATTCCCTACCTATCGCAGCAGCAAGATACCCTTTTTCAGACAAACAGGGAAGCTCCGAGGACCCCTTTGGAAGACTTGATTCCACTTACGGAGACCTTCTGGGAGCTTCCGGCTGATAGTCTGAAGGAGTGTAACCAGGATTCCAACTGGCACCCCAAATTTACACATATTCCAACAGAGGAACGTTGACGGAACATGCGGTCACCCAAAACCGGGGAACAATCAGAGAAACCAAAAGAAAGCGATACACAAAAGAAGAAAAGAACAAGAAAAACACGAACAAACAAGAACAAACCAGAACAAACAAGGAACAAACAAAGAAACATCAGAAAACCAAAGAAACATCAGAACAACCAAAGAAACATCAGAAAACCAAAGAACAAACAAAGAAAAAACAAAGAAACATCAGAACAACCAAAGAAACATCAGAACAACCAAAGAAACATCAGAAAACCAAAGAACAAACAAAGAAAAAACAAAGAAACATCAGAAAAAAAACCCAAAAAAAAAAGATCCCTCCCCTCCCTTTGGGTGCGCCTTCCAGGAGGTGCCCTTTGTGCAGCCTGCCGAGAGCATCCGCTCGGAGGCCATGCCCGCCATCTGCCCGGCGCCCGGAGGTCCGTGGCAGAGACACGGGTCCCACCGACCTCTCCTCCGAAAAACAAGAGAAAACGTGGGGGGGGGGATTTAAGGAGATGGCCCTTTCAGGTAAGCCAAAAAGAGGCTGTTTGAAGCATGTGTCTGAGAAGGTTTCAAGAAGCAGGGGGGATTTGTGTGCGGAAACAGGGGCTTGGATCCCCGAACAGGTAGGGGCTTCAACGCAGCCTGTGTGTGGTGATCACTCGAGAACATGGCAAAGCCGGAGTCGATGGCGGTGCCGCTGCCCTACCACGAATGTTTCCTCTCTCACCCTCGCCCAAGCCCTTCGTAATTCAGAAGAGGCATTACCTCGCTAACTCCCAAGGCTCGAAAGGAACCCTTTGATCGGAATCACTTCGAGTGTCTATATGTCTATGTATATATATATATATGTATATATATATATATATATATGTGAAATCTGATGAGGAATACCCTGCCAATGGCTGGTGGACATAAATCCCACCTCCCAAGAGAGCGCACATGGTTTCCATGCTTCATGTTGAGTTGGCCTCCCCCTCGCTCCTTTCGCGAGAATTCCGAGGCCCGAAGTTCCTGGGTGCCAGCATGGATCAGCCCTTCCTGGCCGCAGACCCAGCGATCCGCGCGGCAGAACTTGTTCAAAGCACCCTGATCCCCTTGAAAGGGACACCAAAAGCCCCTGATGCCCTTCCAAGGGAAGCCCACAGGAAAGTTTCTTCGCAGAGCAGTTTGTTTGAACATGTATGCCAAACCTATGGAGCCCCAGCAGTTTGGTTGTCCTGGATCAACCAAAGTGGCTGCCTCAGGGAAAGCCCCTACGGGCGATTCCTATTGCCTTGTTTCTGAGGCTTCTTGCCCATCGGGCAGGGGGGTTGCTCTCGTGAAGGCAGTGACTCGTGGTTTCATTTGCGCATCATTGGCCATGCCTTATGGCCTTATGCTCACTTGTCCAAAGCCGACCTTTTGACCCTTTGGTTTTGCTCCTTTGAGCAACTGAGTATGGGACCGCACGCTGGATTTCTAAATGGTTTCCCTTTCGTTCCCTTTCGTTCCCTCGAAAAGAGACCCATTCTCCGGACACAAAGCGTTACCCGTGCCTTAGCCAACGAACAAGAAAACACTCAACTCGAGGTTTGCTTTTCCTTCAACACCATAGAGGAGGTCCCTACTTTCAGAACTCACTTCCTGAGTTCATGGACTCTATATACACTTTTCGGGAAGATCATTTTGGCAGGAAACAACACGTTTGGACCTCTTTTTTTTTTGTTTGTTTGTCCGCCATCCCCTTGGGAAGTGAGAGAAACCAGCAGGAGCCAACAGGCTCGCCTGCTTCGAGCCTCAGGTTTCTCTGAAGCCGCTGCAGGCGAGTGGCTGGGCTAGCGGTTGGTACCACGTACACAAGCAAGCGGAAAAAAAGTGGGCTACGACTTCACCCTGTTGGAGTTGAAAAGGAAGCCAACCAGGCTTAGGGCTCCATTGCCTTATATGCCTTATTTTGAGGCACATCCAACTAAAGCACATTTCTCGTGGTTCCCTGGTTTCGGCCAAAGCGAATGCATGTGGATTTCAGAAATCCGCGTGGCGAAACGTGGGTCCTGGCTGACATGCTCGGCACTTAGAATCACATTTTGTGGTTCAACCCCGAAAACTTAAACTCCCCAAAATGTAAACCCCCTTTCCTGGCCTCAAAATATCAAAGCTTTAGGCGACCCGGCAAAAGGGACAGCCCCTCCAGGACAAGGGCGACTGGACACTGCAGATCCGCTCCCAGCACTCCCAGCGAGCCGGTGGGCCCAGCGCGAACAGCGGCTTAGAGCACGCGCGCGCGCGCGCAGAGCGGCTGGCTGTACGGTGCCTCCTCCAGCCGATCGCGGGTGGGGCGTTTCTAGGTCAGAAAGGGGCAATGCAAACCAACTTAAAGGGAACGGAGCCCCTTTCGGGTCCCTTTTAGTCCAACTGATTCTCACCCTGCTTAGGTCGCGAGCGCGAGTGGGGAGAATCCAACTGATTCTTTTTGGCGGAAGCAAACAACTCCCAGGCTAGTCATATTGGGTAGATACTTCCAGTTTATCCGTTGTTTGACGTATACGCGGGTTGCTTACCCTTTTAGGCTGTATCATGGCTGTATCCCTCCAAAACACACGAACGAACCTGACGGACGATTTTTTTTTGGCCCGCGCGGCTTCACCATTTTTGCGTGCCCATTTGGCTTCTAAGGGGAACTCCCTCGAAAGAAGACACTTACTCGGTTGTTCAAAGCCGACCTTTTGACCTTTTGGTTTTTCCGTTTTGGTCCATATTTAGTCATTGCCCCAAAAGGTTAACCTTTTAGTTGCAGGTCCTTTGGGCAACTGAGCTTACAATGGCAACATGGGACGCTGCTCTTTGTTTGTTTTCTTGCACAAGTACTTGCTTTGATAGGTTCTTGGTCGAGTTGTGTTTAGATCGTCAGGCTGCAAGGTTGATTGCTTGGTTGAATGTTTGGGTGGCTGGGCTTGGGGTTGACTTGGCTGATGTTTGTTGGGCAAGCTTGTGCAGTGGGAAGATGCTTGAAATGGTTGCGTTGCTTGCTGGTTCTCAGGTGCCGACGAAGAGACCGACCTCTTACCTTGCTCCCTTTTCATGATTGGAAACAGACCTTGTCTCAATTCGCCAACCGTTTGCCTTGTTGCGCGGGGTTCAAGACGGAACCCAAACCCCCGATTTGTGTGTCTGTTTGCCTACTTTCCTGTAAGCAATAACTGTAGCTGGGTTCCATGACTTTGGGTCTGGTTGGGGGCCCCATACAGGTGGCTTTTACTCATGGACGCATTCCATGCGTTCACAACCGACAGGTTTAGCGTGAACCTGTTTGTTTCTGTGGGCGTTGGTACTTGGCTTGGTCCAACTGACAGGTTGGCTTCTCTACCCCAAGTTCTGTTTAGCGCTCCCCCCCCTTTCATTCGAGGGACTTTTGGGTGCACCCAGACCGACAATACCCGCGAAAACCAGTGGATTGGAAGAATATTGTCCGAAACTCAACGCCCCTTGCACAAGGGGTGTGGTCATACCAATACCAGTACAGTATATACCTCTTGCAGTAGAAAAACCTTCCAGATCCTTTGTCCTGTTAGGGGCACAACCTCCTTGACCGGGGCATGGACCACCCAATGTTCCGGACCCGGTTTGCCCCCCGCAAAAAAAACAAAACCGGGGATGCGACCATCCCCGATTTTGGGGGCCCCATTTTATTTTTTTCCCGCGAAACCAGCGAGGTGGATCCCGATTTCCAACCACCTAATAGCCAAGTCGCCGTCTTGTTGCGGACCCTTTGCCCTAAAGACAGTCACAGTCGCAGGGAAAAAAAAAGCAACTGGAGATCCATCCACATCTTTTTGGGGAAAAAAGGCAGACATTGGAGTCCATCCACGTCTTTCTGGGGGAAAAAGGGCAGCAACTCGAAAAAATCCATCCGCGTCCATCCGACGCGCATCCGACGTGCCGGCGTGCCGACGGGCCTCGAGGTGCGGATGACGGCGGCGTTGCGGCGCGCCGGGCACCTGGCGAACCTCCGCCGCAGCTTCGTGGAGGCCGGAGATGGGAAGCTGACGGAGTCAGCTTGGGCCACTCGATTTGCCCGGCGCAAAGAAAAAGCGTGCGGGGGACACACACACACACAATATTTTCGCGCACAAGGAGCGTTTTTTTTTTGGGGGGGAAAACAGGTAGATTGACCGCTCAGCCCGAACATAGATCAGGTTAGCCAGCCCCGTGCTTGTTTTGTCTTTCTTTGTTTCGGTCCTTCAGATTCATCGGAGGTGCTTTCCTTACGAAGATTCGGGATACAAACATGGGAGCAGAATCCCCTTTCATTCAGCACACGACAACTTCTTGCAGGGGGTCGAAGTCTGGGCAGGGAGAAAGGCCCTTGGATCTCTGGGAACCACTCCGAGCTCGCAGGAAGGTGTCATTCCCTTTGCACACCCACTTTCACCCGGTTTGCATCCGTTTTGTCTCTTTTCATCTCCAAAAAACCGATCGCTCACTCTGTGTTGCTTGTTCGGAGGGAAGATCAACTCAGGTTTGCAGCGGAGTGGTTGGACCGCTTCTCAAAGTCACCTCGGCAGCGGTCGGTTCAGGGAACGGAAAGCTTTTGGAACCCCCAAACCCATCCCAAACACACTTCCCTTAAGACGAAACATAGACCAACATAGGAGCTGCGTGTCGGGGGAGCAAGCAAACCTGGAACCACCTACCTCTTCGAGCCCTCCTTGGACATCATTATATATTTAAAGGTTCGCTAGATATATGCCAGAAACCATCAGGTGGAAAACGCTGAGGTAGTTCTGGTGAAGAAAAGGTCGTCAAGCCATGAACAGTTATCTTGGGCGATGCTTATGAGCACGCCAACAATCTTTGAAATGTTTGTGTTGCAGCCGCTGCAAGCTTGGATTGGATGTTGTGTGGCCCATGAGCTCTTGAGGGGTGGTTCATACATTTCTAGTAGCGACCCCTGAGTTCTAAATCCATGAAGGGATAATCACATGAGGTTCGGTCAAACAATCAGAAGTCTGGTCCACTTGGGGTTTGGCACGTGGACACTCGAAGTGAGTCTCGCAAGGGAAGACTAGAACTTAGCCAGGTCTGGTGCTAGATGCAGCCGTCACAGGCATCTCGCTGCTCTTGCAAGCATGCTGCCAGGTACGCAGCGAGAACGACCAGCTCCTCGGGACAGCGGCATACTCGCATGTCTCTTGGAAGTATCGTTGGACTTGCTCCTCCCCTTGAAAGGCAAACCAAAAGGGGTGGTTTAAGCAATAGAGTTTCAACATGTGTGAACAATGGGTTTGGAAGGCACGCGTTTATTGAGGCTGGTCCCGGGCCGAAGCAGGCTTTGCCAACGTTTGCCCGCAGGATTTCATTTTTGGGCCTATCCCAAGGTAGGTAGGCTTACACCTTGAAGCTCCCCTTTGCGGGAAAGCGACCACGAAGAAGAAAATGGAGGGCGTTTGGGGTATCTCCCACGGCTTTTGGGGTCAAGAGACCTCACCTGAGACGCAATCAAGACCACAATGTCAAATGGCCATGGGTCAACACCCAAATCGTACCCCCAGTGAACATCCGATTCAATTCAACCACTAAAATAGGCTCTAAAATGGGTGGTGAATTCACCTACCAACCAAACTGGGATCAACCACAACGGTTTTGACCACCACCGCCAAATGCTTGGGTTTGAGATCTTTTATTGAGGTCTTCTCGGCGCGAAGTGTTTGTTGGTTAATGCCAGGGAGGCCATTGATTGGGTTCGATATCTAGAGACACCAGGACGGTCTTTTTGCTACCTTTTCTGAGAAAATTGCCGAACCCCTCAAAAAGGAATCCTTCACTACGAGGGGTCAATCAATTGTCCACAAAAGGTGGCAAAAAGACCCCCCCGAGAGACACACCCTTTTACCAAGTTCGTGGTCCACAGACTTCTGTTTCGGTAAATTGGGGGTACTACATGTACCGGAGCTAGGAGGATCACCTCACGGCTCGAGATCTTGATGCCGGACGGGCGCACGTGGCTCGCAGAAGATGGCGTCTTTCTATATTCTCATTTTCCTTTTTGGTTTTCATAGGACTCCAATATTGGCTCTTACTTCTCGCAAAAAACCCAGGGGGAGGGGGCTGCAGGGGGCAGGGGGTTGCGGTCTCGTTTCCCGGGACTCCCTTGATGGAGGTTGCAGGGGCATCTAATAGGAAACGCCCGGGTGAGCCATCCTCTTCGGCCGTTTCAGCGGCTTAGTATGGAGTTTGGCCCTCTTTGCCCGCGCACACCCATTTTATGGGCTTGCCTTTCTCAACCCAAAGGAAACCCAATCAAATGGGCTGTCCTTCCTTGAGCATGGCTCTCGAGTAGTAACCACCCATTGAACCCAGAGTTACGCCCCTTGTAAAAGGATTCAGGGTTGCTCCCAGCGGCTTCAAGTCACCTGCAAGGGTTTGTTTCTTGGCTTCCCTTTGTCAAGGAGGCAAAATCTATCGTTGTGCCAATAGGTCTTTGGAGCAAGTCTGCAACCAGGCAGCGATCGCGAACCCTCAAAGTAGGTGGGCGTGGTTCACGTTTTTTGTTCAGAGCTGCCTTGTTCTTTGGCAAGGGAAGCCCAAACAGATGTTGACGCCGGATGAATACACCTGATGAGGGGACCCCTCGGATGAAAAACAGCCAGGGTTGCCGGGGAAACCTTTGGCCCCGTAGGTTAAAGGGCAACCAGCCCAGGTGCCGACTCTGATCGCCCAGAAACAGGGAAACGAAACCACCTGGCCCCAGTATTTAATCACTCACAAGCCCAATTTGCCCAACGGTTAGCTACAGCCCGGTGAAAAAGGGACGCCGCCCGAGCCACCCCGCTGCTTCCGCTCAGCTTCGGCTGCCTGGTGCCTTTCGGCGGCGCGCCGGGCGGCCGAGAGCGAAGCGCTCCGGAGCGGAGGGATGGCGTGAGTCGGATGCGCGCCGGGGTGTGGGGATCTCTTGGTGGTCGTCTCTTAAAAGCCGTTTCTTTTTGTTTGGGGGGGGGGATACCCCTTTTTTTTTGGTTCCGCGTTTTTTTGTCTCTTTTTGGTGGTACCCATGTTCGTGTGTGTGTGTGTGAAGCCCTCGCGTTTAGAGAGAGGGGCCTTGTCACGCATGCCCTGCAAGGCGTAGAGATCTTTATGGAAACCAGGGGGCCTTCGCTCTGGGCCAACTGGATGGCCTGGGCCAACGAACCCGGCTCCGTGAGACGTAGTGTGTGTGTGTGTTAAAGGGAAACCAAAAAGGAGACCGGTGGGAGTCCATGGTTAGGGATTCCCCCGCGTTCTCGCAAAACAAAACAAAACAAAAACACACACACACACACACACACACACACACACACACACACACACACACACACACACACACACACACACACACACACACACACACACACACACACACACACACACACACACACACACACACACACACACACACACACACACACACACACACACACACACACACACACACACACACACACACACACACACACACACACACACACACACACACACACACACACACACACACACACACACACACACACACACACACACACACACACACACACACACACACACACACACACACACACACACACACACACACACACACACACACACACACACACACACACACACACACACACACACACACACACACACACACACACACACACACACACACACACACACACACACACACACACACACACACACACACACACACACACACACACACACACACACACACAACACACACACACACACACACACACACACACACACACACACACACACACACACACACACACACACACACACACACACACACACACACACACACACACACACACACACACACACACACACACACACACACACACACACACACACACACACACACACACACACACACACACACACACACACACACACACACACACACACACACACACACACACACACACACACACACACACACACACACACACACACACACACACACACACACACACACACACACACACACACACACACACACACACACACACACACACACACACACACACACACACACACACACACACACACACACACACACACACACACACACACACACACACACACACACACACACACACACACACACACACACACACACACACACACACACACACACACACACACACACACACACACACACACACACACACACACACACACACACACACACACACACACACACACACACACACACACACACACACACACACACACACACACACACACACACACACACACACACACACACACACACACACACACACACACACACACACACACACACACACACACACACACACACACACACACACACACACACACACACACACACACACACACACACACACACACACACACACACACACACACACACACACACACACACACACACACACACACACACACACACAAAAGAAACAGATGGACTATCATCAAACTTAGCTGGTCGATCGAGTCTTGTTCTTGGGTTGCCGAGTTCTCTTGCTTGCTTGCTTGCTTGCTTGCTTGCTTGCTTGCTTGCTTGCTTGCTTGCTTGCTTGCTTGCTTGCTTGCTTGCTTGCTTGCTTGCTTGCTTGCTTGCTTGCCTTCCTTGCCTTGCCTTGCCTTGCCTTGCCTTGCCTTGCCTTGCCTTGCTCTGCTCTGCTCTGCTCTGCTCTGCTCTGCTCTGCTCTGCTCTGCTTTGCTTGCTTGCTTGCTTGGTGCTTGCTTGGTTGGTTAGCTGGTTGGCTTGTGGATCGTGGGCTGGTTGGTGTTGGTGGGTGTTGGTTGGCATTTGTTGCGTGCTTGGTTCTTGGCAGTTTGGCTGGTTGGCTGACTGGTTGATGAGTGGAGCAGAAGCCAAGACCAAGGCACCTGCTTCAGGAGGAAAGCGGCTGCGCTCCCAGCGTGTAGATCTTGCCAAGATTCCCTTTGGGGGAAGTAAACAACCCCCAGTAGTATACAGCTCAAAGCCCCTAAAAGATGAAAAACTCAAAGGCAGAAATGGTTTTCCTTGGTTTCCCTTTTCCAGGGAATGCATGTTCCGAATTCCCTACCCTTGAGGGTCTTGAGGGTCTTTGGAGCGAGCCCACTGGCCCAACATGATGTCCGAAGGCTCTACATGAAGTCAAAGGGCAGAGCCCCATAGGCACAGAGTGCGGTGCTATTTCAGGCCGGGAAGCTCGATGGTCCGTTGCTGAGGAGCAAGGCGATTGGAGGGAAGGGGTCATTTGGGCGTGGCTTGGTTACGGGGCTCCGTACCCTTTTGCGCGGTCGCTTGAAATCGAAAACCAAAGGACAACCAGTTGTTTTTTGTGGAGGCAGGGGCTGGTGCTATTTTGAGACACACCCGTTTGGGTCAACAAACATCTACACGACACATCGGATGAATCGTTTGCAAAGGGATTTGGCAGATCGATATTTCGAACACCTAGGCGCATACAGAGTCCTGCGCCAGTTGGTAGATAGTCAATCGCAGTATTCACAAGGGTTTATCCATCCTAACTGGTGCGCCCGGCCTACATTCTTCCAATAAGGACAATTTCGTGGTTGTTTTTCTTTGGGATGCCCTGTGAGGGGTCAAGGGAAGCCGCCAAGGACCAATTTCCCGGTAGACCACACCCAGGCCCAAAAATGGGGTTGCCCGTGTCCTTTCAAACAGGGATAAAGCTGGACTTCCCTTCAAGAGTTGATCAATCTACCGGCGGTGTCCATTGAAACCGCCACTTCAGGTTCCACAAGAGGACATGGAGGACGTTTTGTCAAAAGGGGCGCGTCCTTTGATTCGTTGGGTTACCGCCTTGGTGAAAAACGCTCCAATCCGTGAAAAGCGCGGCGAGGCACCATCTCGACGGTTTGGCTGCCCAAGATGGGGCCGCAGCCCTGATCCTCAAGCGAAGCGCGCCGCACGTCCGGGCTTCGGCGGGTGAAAGGGTGACACCAAGGATTCCCCAGTTGCCCAGTGGATTCCGCCCCCTTTTTTCCGTCCTTTTTTCTTGGCATACTTATCAGGCTTGGTTCTCCCCTTTTGAGTGGGGCATCGGTCATTTTGAGGGATTCCCCAGATTCGTATAGTGCTCCTTGTTCAAATCCTCGGATTCACAGTACCCCAGTTCCTGCTTGTTGGTTTGAACCCAACCGGCAGCGTTGAATGTTAGTACCCAGGGGCCAGAGGGTCCATGCTGGGATCTCGCACCATATTTCCATGTTCAGGTTCACTAAGCACAAACCACACTCAAACATTTCTTTCTTCGACTGGTGCCCAACAAATTTGGGAATCTTGGAACCCCGAGTGGGAGTGGGCGTGTCTTTTCTAGGCCCCCCCCCCAGAACCGGCAACGGTTTCTGCCTTGGGTTCCCTTTGAAACCAACCACACAGGGCACACCGCTGAGAGCTCAGGTCCAGCCAGAGGAACTTGGCAGAGCTCAGGGACGGCCTGCACAAACTCGGCCGGGCGACCGGGACCGGAGGGACCAGAGGGACCGGTGACGGATGTGCGTCTTGGAACCCTGCGAGCGCCAGAAGGGGCTTAGGCTCAGAATCTGCAAAGCATGGGTCTCTGATCAGAATTGAGGTTTCTGGCTAGGTTTGGCAACCTTGGAAGTGGCAAGCTGTTTAGGACTGGACTTGGGCTCGAAAGGAGTCCATGAGGGGTCATATTTTGGCCCCCATGGTGTCGAAATAGTTCGAATGAGGCTTTGGGGGGTACTTTGAAACCAGCGCAAGAGGGGACTCGCCACTTTTTGAGGCCCTTAGACTCTTCTTCCCCCCTGGCCGGCCGCGGGCACCTGGGATCCGACTCCTCCGAATCGAATCCACTCGTCGTCCGCATCGCCAGGGGGGCGGTCCAGCCACAACCAGAAGGGCGCTCTTCTGGCCACCCTGGCCCGGAGACCCGGCCGGCGCATCCAACGGATGTTTCTCGCCTTTCTGCGGGTGCTTTTTGTCTTTTTTTTTGGGTCCAGCGGAGAGATTTGTTTTCGTGCTTCTTATTTCTTAAGGATTTTGTCCGCCTTTTGGTCAGCGAAGATGAACCTGAGTCTTGTTTGGCCCGCAAACGGGGATGCTGTATTTTTAAGTCCAGTGGATGCAAATGGGAACTTCGAGGGTGTGGCTGAAATATGGCTTCAGCCTTAGTCTCGGCCCCGGAAAAACCTACTCCGAAAGCCAAGGATCCGCCGTTAGCACAATCGCCATCAACCAGGGGTCTCTTCATCCAACGTGGGCGACCCCCCTATGTAAAAACAACAATAAAAATAACTAAAGTGCGTAGACTAAAACAGTGGGCCAAAGCCCCAAAGTGGGACAGCCCCCTACCACGGTAGCCCCCCCCCCCAGCCCAGCTCTCACGCGAGCGAGCTGCCAATCTAAGGCCCGGCCCGAAGGGTCCAATGGACATAGGCGCGGAGCTGGTGATCTGGGCCATGTCTTGAGGCAAACTCAGAGCTCAAGGCGCAGAAAGGGAATACATTCATATCTGAAGAATGGTGTTGGGCTCAAAGCTCCGACAGCGGCTTTTGTTTTGGGCTCTATTGATACCCTTGGCTTGATACCCTTGGTCTTCGCGGGGGTTTGAGCGACGACACTGGTACCGTGTTGAAGGGAGCCATCGAACGCCCACATGAGGGGCGGCACGGGGCTACGTCCACAGGGAACGGATGAACGGATTACGGAGTCTGCGCAACATGAATAGGATGCCCAAGTCGTGAAGAGTTTGCAAGGGGGAAATTGGGCTGATAGGTAGCAGTGCACAGCTTGGGTTTGATAGGGCAGCTTTGTGCTGCCCGCACAGACAGGGTCTGTTTTCAGTTCAGTCATCTTAAGGGCCGGCGTGAAGGATGTAACACCTTGGAAGGGTAAACCCCATGGTAACCCGTTGGCTGCCTCCCCCGAATCGTGTAAAAAAAGCAGCTGAGCCCACAGCGAACTTTTTGTCACGGATCTGAAATATAACCCGTGTTGATTGTCAAGAGGAACCTCCCCCCCTGCCAGAACGCCTCACACCACCAAACCAAATCACAGAAGACTAGTTGGGGGCAGTTCAGGGCATATTGCCGACTTTAGGCCAATTTCCCTGCCAATCGGAGCTTCTTTGCCTTGCTCGTCTCTACCAAACTCCGCGTTTCATCCCAGCGTCGCGATAGGGATGGAAATTAGAGATGGACATGGCGAGGCTGGAGTTGATGAGCATGAACGGAGTGGACTCGGTCCTGGTGCTGCTTTGCGCATTAGGAGCCTGGGGGCTCAGCTGCCGGCTGTCTGAATGATTGGCGCGCGAAAGGCCGAAATTTGTTTGGTTAAGCTGGAAAGGAGTATGGGTGTGTCTCAAAATCGGGGACCTCCCAAAAAGGCCAGCGTCCTTTTGGTTTCTGAAGAATTAGATCGGTCATTCTGGGGTTTTACATCCGTTGCATCCGCAGTGTGGCTGTTCAAGCGTGAAAATGTGCGAGCAGCGCACTTGGACGGTTTGTTGTTTCCTTTTGGGCCCCAAACCGGTAACCCTTGAATCTATAGGTTATCAGCCGTAGGCCCCTAGCTCTAAGCAATGGACGGTTCCCTTGTGCCAGTTGATGGATCCAACATGCCTGTGGATGCTGTCGGAGCTAGCTCCGACAACGCCACCGGCAGCGGTGCGCGAATGTTCGCGTCAAGTGCCAATGCACAGTATAACCGCACCCTGATGAATTCCCTTCAACTGTACAATACCGCAATCTTTGCTTTCGGGAATGATGCAGCCATTAGGTCTGAGGCCGAAGCCCTGCATCAAGCAGCTGTTACGCATTTGCAAGCGGAAAACCGTGAGGAGCTCCGTGTCGCACAGAACCAGCTGCATGCACACTACGCTGAGTGTGTGCAAGCCCAGTCGCATAGAATTCGTGAATACGAACAGCGAGTGAGCGACGAGTTCATCCAAGAAGTGAACTTCGCTGAAGCTAGGATAAGCCAAATGTGTGAGGAAAATGCCCAAGCATCGCATGAAGTGGATATGAGACACAAAGCAACTGAGTTTAGGCAAGCCATCGAATCCACCCTGGCGGAGGCCCAGCAGCCCCTTCATGAGCAAGCCGCCAAGCACGCCGATGACACAGCCCGTGTCGAAGCGAAAAACGCCAGGATGATTGACATGATGGCCTACCAAAACGGGCTTCTGCAGGACGAGCTCGATGAGCTGAAGAAGTATCAGAAGCAACACGACCTCCGCGAGGATGGATCGAAGCCCAAAGGGGTAGGTGATACCCGAGAGGATTCACCAGAGTTGATGACCGACGACATGAAATCAGCTCGGTCCCAAAGGTCAATGTTGGACCCGTTGTCCAATCCATTTCAATATGCAAAGGAAAAGTTGAGGTCGCTTGTTGCCTATGACGGTTATGAGGTTGAATACACCCCCAGCGTAATTCCAACTGCCGAAAGAAAAGCACTGCTTGCAGATGCTCGCGATCCGCAAGGACCAGCTGAAAAGCCATCAGGTAGCAGCCGATCCCCGGTGAAAACAAGTGCACCGGTCCCGCCCCTGCAATTCTCTCAGGGGCCAATGCCAACTGACCGTAAGCAGGGTGGCAAGCCCCCTGGCGGTCCGCCACGTGATGATGATGGCGATGGCGAAGGTGATGAAGACGAAGGTGATGGCCTCGGGCCTATCCTCGGTCAAGAAGCCTTCGCCAAAATGTTGATGAAGTTAGTGAAAGGCCACACGAACGACGAAAAGCCCAGAACCCGCGAAAGCGAGACGTTGCGATTCAAGGAGATGCCAACTCCTGAAACGTACCGTGAATGGAAGACATCGGTTCGTGAGGATGTTCGCGCTGCATCTGACCGTCCAGACGAGGCTTGGCCTTGGATCATGGAAGTTTGGTCTGACCGCGAGGACAAGAAGAAGCTGTTGGAAGAGCTCGGTGAACCGGGAAAATTCGTGACTCTAGACACGAAGATTCTTGCAGCGCTCACGCGTTCAGCGAAAGGTGATCTGGCTCAGCGAATCCTGACAGCAAAGGAAGAATGCGCCAAGGAGGGAAAGGCCATGAGAGGAAGGCAGGTCTTGTTTATGTTTGACCAATATTTCAAGACCAGTGAAGAAGCCGGAAACCTCTACTCCTTGGAGGACCTGTTGCGTGTCTCGCGACACGGCGAAGGAATCATTGATCTCAAGCGTTTCCTAAACGCTTGGGATTCTGTGATCGCCGGCATGAAAAGGCCGCCAGAAGAAAAGGTGTTGAAAGACATCCTGCTTCGCCAAGTGAGAAGCTGCCATCTGTTGCGGTACGACATCGACACATATGATCGTTGCCGTGATGATGATCCCAACAAGTCGTACGATTTCCTAATGCGTTGCATGAGGGATCTAATCGAGAGGGACAGGCTTCGCGAGAACCGAGAGCGCGTGTCCAAAGTCAATGCGAGTAAAGCCCCGACGCCCAAGGCTGGTGCCGCCGCCCCTGAAAAGAGGGACCCCAAGAAAAAGAGCGCACCTAAGCCGAAGGACACCGAGGAAAAGTACTGCTTTGATTTCCAGAAGGGCTCGTGCACGAGGGGGGCAAATTGCCCTTACGCGCACCGCAAGGAGCCGCGAGGACGCTCCGCGACCCGTGGCAGGCTGAGTTCCCCCAAAGGCAATAAGGGAGAGAAAGCACCGTGCTCTTTCTTTGCCCAAGGGAAGCGCACTAGAGGTGACAAATGCAAGTTTAGCCATGCCTCCACGGGCGGCAAATCAGCCGCCGCGGCATCGAGCAACGAGGCCAATGCCAATCCTGCGGCTAAGAAGCGTGCTAACTCACCTAAGCCTAAGCCCAAGGCCAAAGCCGCTGCAGTCTGCACCAGGTACGCCATGTTCGCAAAGCCGATCAATCCGATCGGAGTGTCATTTGACACTAATGCTCATGTGCACGAGATCCCGCCGAAGGCGATGGTTTCAAGCTTGAGTATGAGGAACGGCAGTACAACAGGATGTTTCCAAGTGCTAAGGACTGCCCCAGGCCGACCAAAGGGACGAACAAGGCAGCACGCAAGGCCGCGAACCAGTTGAATGCCGTAATCAAAGCCATTGAGAATGGAGCCCAGCCCGCTTGTGGTTTCATGTGTGATGAGGAATCCGATTCCATCTCAAGCCTATCGTGTGATGAGTGCCTGAGACTTGCCATGCCGCCTCACGATGTTCGCAAGGATGTCGAAGCGCCAAGGGCGGTGGCTGCCCCAAAGGGAAAGGACGTGTGGCTCATTGATTCCGGTAGCGAGCAGGACCTCATCAGCAAAGCTGCCTTGAGGATTGCGTCCAAGGCAATCCGAAAACAGGCCCCTCAGCCTATTCGCCTTGTGACTGCAAACGGAAACATCACTGCTTCCGAAATCGCCGACATCAATGTCGATGCATTGTGTGAGCCTGCTCAGCCTTACATCCTCGAGAGTTCTCCTGCAGTGCTGTCGTTGGGTGTGAAGTGCCTGGATCAAGGATATTCCTTCCATTGGGAATCCGGGAAGGCGCCAACCATGGTTCGCCCTGATGGTGCTCTGATCCAGCTAAAGGTTGACGGTCATGTGCCATACATGGATTCTAGTTGCGAAGCTGAGCCATCGTTGAGTGCAGTAGCAGCACCCAAGCCAGCGCCTGCACCGGTTCATGACGAAGGCCTCGACGAAGGTGATGATCCCGACGATGAAGTTGAGCGGTTTGTGAGATCCCGCAAAGAGCAAGACCTGGTTGCCGAAGCAAGTACCAAAGAGCACCTGTTTGCACACTATCCGAAGAATCCCTTTTGCCGCACTTGCCAACGTGCCAAGATGCTTGCCCCATATGCAAGATCGAAAGGCGGGCAGGGAAGGCTCGAGACGAAAGAGTTTGGAGATCACATCATTGCTGATCATGTGATTCTCAAGGCCAACATCGAGCAAGGTATCAAAGGTGAATGGTGTGCTCTTGTGATCAAGGACGTGCGTACGCAGTTCAGGTACGTTTATCCGTCGACCAGCAAAAGCACGGAGCAATCCGTTGCAGGGATCCAGCATTTCATTTCCGGTAGGGATGAGGTTGAGGTTCTCTACACCGATAACTCCCGGGAATTGAAAGCCGCAATAGAACAGTTGGGGTACCGTCATCAGACCTCCATTGAATATGTTGATTCTTCCAAATCTTTCGTGGAAAGGGAAATCAGACATCTGTTGGAGGGAGCACGTGCGAATCTTGTTCAGTCAGGGTTCCCACTGTCGATGTGGCCATTTGCAATCCAGCACAATGCAGTTGCAACCAACATCCTGCCGCAGTTGAATGGAAACGATTCGCCATGGTACCTCAGGTTTCACAAGACCTTTGATGAAGCTGAGATACCTTTCGGAGCAAAGGTACTGTTCTGGAACAACCCCGCACGAGCTGACAATCAGGCAGGCAAGACTTCGCCAACATCAAATGAAGGCGTGTTTCTCGGGTACCACATTCAGCCTGGGTTCGCATGGAAAGGTGAGTTCCTTGTTGCAAAGCTAGAAGGGCTCGATTACCATATCGAACATGCGTCCCTCACGGTACAGCGAACAAAGCGCATTGAGCTTCCGACTGATGAGTTCATCTTTCCGATGAGGTTGTTGAAAGACCCTGCATCTCATCCACCTGTTGCTGATGCCAAAACACGAAGTGATCCTGTGCCGTTGGAGCGTGGGCAAGCCCACATCGAGGAACCTGCCGCATCGGAGAAATCCGAAGCGAAGATCAAGCCTGTCGTGCCTGACAAAGGCGGCGTTCGACCCAAGCAGAATGCCTGATGGGTCACCAGTACCCGATGGCATGGGGTTCGGCTCGTCCGTAGGAAGGCCGGATCCAAAAGGCCTCCCGATATCCCGTCCGACATGTGGGTCATGCTCGGCAGCCAGGACCGAAAGGCCCTAACCCAGCAGTATGAAGAGCAGCTCCGTGCAGATGCCAAGAAGGCTGTGCTCGAGACAACAGTCTCATCGGAGGCCAGATCCGAGCACCCTGAAGCCGCATCGAGTGCAAAGCCAACCAGCGCCGCCCGCGAGGGCGAGCCGACAATGCCTGTGATCCGGCAAGCGCCTGCGATGTCCGTCCTTCCGGAACGCGACAAGTCAGCAAAGGAGCCGCATCGCCCGCAATTGCGTGAGTTGGTCAAAGAGCGAATCAAGAAAGTCGAATTTGATGTTGCTCTTGAACTGTTCAGTGCAGTCGTAGCCAGACTTGTGCCGAAAGCCGAGGTAGCCAATACGCCAAAGGCCCAAGCCGCCCTTGACAAGG